GTGGATTTGTATACCCCTATTCCCCCCCCCCCCCCCTTCTTGATTGTGCCTATGATTTGGCATAAGTGTTGCAATGCTGTTGCCATGTTCCAAGCGCTCACGAGAGGCATTTTCATTGAGCTTTACCTCGGCATGCAAATGTCCATTTTGGTAAGAAAGCAAGCCTTAAAATATTGGTCGGTCACAGACATTGCCCGACCCATTTGTGAAATTGTCTGACGTAGAGAGGAAACTGCTGGACATTCTGTCTGACCTAAGTGAAACTGAGGTTTACTGTTTGTCCGACCCGAGTAAATTGGTGTCCAACCTATAACTGTAACTTTGTCCAACGTAAATCAAAATGCACCCCAGTCCAGACTAGAGGCTTGTATGGGCCGGACTATAATGTATTGTGATGTCCGATGTCTTTGAGTTTGTTTAGCTCATAATGTATAAAAATGAACTTGAAATGTGTAATCAAGTGCGGGGTTTTCACCGTGGCGTTCGGAAATTCATTGCCAAGATTCAAATGACTTTTCTAAATTGTTCTCAGATATTATTTTGTGTCTGCATTCATATTTATTTCCGAGCTAAACAAACTCAAAGTCATTGGACATCACAATACATTATAGTCCGACCCAAAGTCATCGAACATTTTGTCAGACGGTTCTCTAACCAATATTTTAAGGTCTGAAGAAAAAAAGCAAGTATTTTCAATGATAATGTTATACATCTTGTGTTCATTTTGCAAAGAGTACAGTCTGGATTAAGCCTGGTTTTCACATGGTCGTAATTGTCGCGAACGTGTTGTAACTGTATTCAGAGTAGTGTTTGCAACTAAAATGGAAACATGAAGAAAAGTCTTGTCGCAACATGATGTTCACAACAGTTACAACAGTCGTGTTTCACTCGCTACTCTGATTTAAATAAATGATTACAAAGCCCAGTGGAATTGTAATCAAGACCCAACGTTTCGACACTCCAGTCTAGATAGTGTCTTCATCAGGGGTGATCTAAAGTTGCAATCGTGGCTTCTTAAATACCCAAGGGATGACGTCACCTGCCAATTAGATGCAGGACACTAGACTGTAGTGTCGAAACATTGGGTCTTGATTACAATTCGACTGGGCTTTGTGATAATTTATTTAATTAAACCAGAGTAGCGAGCGAAACAGGATTGATATACCTGGTTGAAGTGAACGAACAAACTTTAAAGTTACAACAGTGTTGTAGAGATAGACTTGAGTTCTATCTCGACAACAGGCTAAAAACATGTTGTGACGGTTATTTTTTAATGATGTTTTTATGCACCATTATTTTGAGCCCAAAATTTTGCAGCCATCATAGCAGCCATGGACCGCTGGCTGTAATTAATGCTCCATATATTTAGTGAATGCTCAGGTATAGTAAAATGTAGAATTTCCATGTGTAGATCTGGTTTATCATGGAAGCACCATCTGGATGTCGGCGCGGGCGTCATTGACTCTGATTACCGTGGCAATGTCGGTGTCATTCTGTTTAATCTGAGTCATGTGGATTTCGACGTCAAGGAAGGAGATAGGATTGCACAACTGATAATACAGAGGATTTGTACACCAGAATTAGAGGAAGTTGAGGTTATTAATAATATTGTTCAACCTACTTGTAAATTTTACAAATTATTGCCACCTTTTCATTCTCAAACCGACTTGACCTTGTAGCTCAGTTCATACAGTAGACAGATTTTGCTCTGGGGGTGGGGGTGCCTACCATTTAAAGGGGGCGGGAGGTGAGCGATGGGCACGTAGCACAGTCGAACAACCTACAGCAGGGGTCTGGGTGCACAGTTGCTAATGGGGGTAAGGGGCGAAGGCCCCAGGAAATTTTGAGGTCTTTGTCCTTATTTAGTTCAAAATTACTTATTTCAATGATACATAAGCATTTAAAAATCTAGAGAGAGTGCAACTTTTTTTAGGTGGGGTGGGAAAACTTTCTGAGGGGGTGCACACTCCCCCACCCCAGAAAATCTGTCTGTGGCTCAGTTGGTAGAGCATTGGACTAAACCAAAAGAATACCCGGGTTTCCAGTTTCCTGACCTCAAACTATAAAAAATAGGGGGTTACATTTTTCTGGTCAACCTATTCAGTTTAACATAATATCCCTGGTTAACCCTTTAAGTGGCAATGCACCCTGATGCACCCTATTTTACTCTGTCTAATGCCAGACTATTTTACCTGTCAAGAGTAAGTGCTGCCACTCAATGATTTAAATCAGTTGCTGGTTATTTTATCACACTTCCTGTACCATATTGATGATATGATCTCATCTGGTTAATGTAACCGAGAATCTGGTTATGTTTAACCAAGACATCCTGGTTAAACTGACCAGACTATGTTAGGTGGACAAATAGACAACTTGCATGTTAGACTAATTTTTGATCTACAGGTAGGCAAAAAAAAGTAAATTCCCGTAAAGAACTTATTAAAATGAGAGTAAAATTGCAAAATTTGGTTACGAAATGTTTTAAAATACAGAAAATATAGCCTTGCGAAGTTTGCATATTTTCAGTATGTTTGTATTACGTGCGGAAATTGTTACCATTTTTGAGCCGAAAATGGTAACAATTTCCGCACGTAATACAAATATACTGAAAATATGCAAACTTCGCAACGCTATATTTTCTGTATTTTACAACATTTCGCAACCAAATTTTGCAATATTACTAATGTCATTATGTTCTTTTTAACTGTTGCGTTTGATTCCCTTCTCTTTGCTTAGATTCAAATTTAGTCTAACATGCAAGTTGTCCGATCAGCCTTGCTTCCAGGCCTGCAAATAATTATTTTGCTTGGAAGGACAGATGTCCGATCAACACAAAAAGTCGTCGGACGTTTATCAGTTTTTCTCGGACAATGGACGAAGGAAAATTTTTCATGGTCTTTTTGGTCATGCATATATTACGGCATGATGTATTTCTGCTGGTCGTGATGATCTGCACCGCAGTGCATCTAAAACTGAGTATAAATCTGGTAATATACAAGTCCTACTCTGCATTTTCAGTAAATTATGGTTCAGGTTATACATAACTTTCATTTCTACCATATTATTATTATTATTATTATCATCATCTTTATTAAGGTCAATTAATTATATATTACAAAAAGACTCAAAGAACCATGCATGCAAGATACCTTCCCAAACGTTATTAAAACTAAATTATATAACATTAGACACACAAGACACAACTCTATATACACACCTAGTGCATCACAATTTACGTCCTATGGCACGAACAGTCACGAAACAAGGACCACGTGCATGACAAGTCAACATCATAACATCATATGGAATCAACAATATATGGAATCAACAATACTAGAGTATCTATGTTACATATAAGAAGACGATTTATATTTGTAATTACATCTTACGGCTTAATGCAGCTCAGAAATAATGGAAGAGTATTGTTGCTTTGGGTTCGTTAATGAAATTACTGTATGTTCAAAATGTAAAACTGTAATGTCTAACTGTAACTGTAAATCAGATGTCCGATCCGAAAAAACGTTGATCGGATATTAAAAAGGTAAAATTTGGCCGGACAGACTTGAAGTCAAATTCCACGGATGTGCCCGGAGGGCATGTTGAAGTTTCGAATTGATTGGTACATTACCAGCACAGCTCTCAAATCCCTATTCATAATTCTAAACATTTACCTTAACGATTTTTACAGAGTCTTGACGAGACCACACGAGGCGCTGGTGGGTACGGATCAACAGGAAGAAACTAAGAAGTCGGTGACTCCGAACTAGGATTTCTGAGATGAAGGTTTTCAATTGTGGCTTGGGACTCCATATCAGTGACCGTACTATAGGTTATAATAGGGAGTTTAACATTCGCGTTTCCGGGAACGGCAAACGGCAGATTCGAAATTTTCGTTAAACGTTTTCGTTTCATATTTTCTTTCTTGTGTCGAAAGAATAGTCATGCATTGCAGTTTTAAAACAGCAAGTTCATTTACTCTTTACTAATAGCCTGATACCGTAAAATTTTTCTTTGCCTGGCGTTTGCCGTATAACGCCAAGCTTAAACTCTCTAGTGTATGGTATGATATATATTGGAAGCTCGAACAAGATCAAAGGACAACTAGCCTGACATAACCTTAAAATGTGTCCGACCAAATTTAAATTGGATGAAAAACATTCAAATTTGGTCGGACATTTTTCGATTTCGTGTTTACTCCGGGCCGTCCATTTTGGATAAATCGCGCGTCAGTAAATAATCCTTTACGTTAAAACTACTACAGTTCCAGAGATTAGAAATGAAATCAGTGTATTTCTAATCTGTGATGGAACATATAGGAATGAATATATGAAGTCTGCAGTACTGTAAATTAATGTTTTTGTGACTGGAAAAGTATACCTATACTATACTATACATGTATATATTGCATAATTACATTACTACTGGTTTTGTTTAGACATGTTTTGTTAATATTCACTATAGTTCATGTCCGAGAAAATCTGTGAACCATTTGTTAAAATTACATACCGAATCCTGATAGCAGGACATTTTTTTTTCAAATGGCAAATAAATTCATAGTAAAGAATACATCCTTTTATAAATATTTCATTTTCATGAGTGTTCTGTAACTTAGCTATACTGTAGTGTATTGTATTGTAATTTCAACGTTTAATAGGAGTTCAAATAAATAACTTTCTGTATGAATTTCGCTGCTGCAACACATCCAATAATGATTTTTTACCAAGCTGGCTAATAGCTACGGACGTTAGTCACGTCACGTCGTTCGACGGAAATGATGTTGAGCTGAACAGAAACGGTGGAAAGAACGAGAAGAGAATGTTTTCATGAGAATAGATTCATCGCCTACGGGTTTACCACCTCGCTGCCTTTCAGGAAATCAGTTCACATAAAATATCTATATGGACAGCGAACTGATTAAACATAATTTTAAAGGCAATTTGGAGATTAAAATTCATCCGTAACTTGGTTTTGCCTTTGGCCGGCTTTGGTTGTGTATTTCAACACGTCAGTTTATTTCAAAACTTCAGAAAAGGAAACACCAATAGGCTATATTGATCCAGACATAATCCAGACAAGATTTCTGAAGAATTATAAGTTTATGAACAAGCTATGCGGAAATTTGAATTTTTTTTTTTTTAATTTGTTTTCCCGTGTATAAAAATCTACTTAAAATATATTACAATAATTTGAATATTTTGGGCTAGAGACCTACTAGAAATCTTCATAGACTTTTTATTTTAGGTCTCTAGTTACTGTTCGTTTTATCACATAATCGATTATTTACAGTCAATCAATACATAATATGTAAAAGTTAACCTATAAGTTTATCAAAAGCTGGCCCCAATATATTATAGCAATATAGGAATACATAGGTCACTTGTTTCTCAACCATCTTCAGAGATGCATAAAAAACTAGTTTCATATTAATCTGATACTGCCGAATACAACGAAAAATTCGTTGTCAGAATAGATGAATAAATAAGAGATATTGAAGTCTGAAATGTTTACTTGCATGTCCTTATAAGCGACTACAGTGATTATAATCGTAATGTCTAATGACTACACGCGTCAAAACGCACAAGTTGTAACAAACCTGCAGCAGACTTGTAGCAATGCTGTTCCAACAACTTGTCAACAGGATGTGTTCGCACTGCTTGTTCCCAGCTTGTTGACAGGTTGTCAACGGCTTGTTCAAACTTGCTACAAGGTTGTTGATCTCAACAGACTTGTTCCATAGATATCTTATATACACTAGATAACGCATCTCTTTTAGTAAAATTGAAGCCAAGAATATTCCAGCGGTTGCCCCCATTTATATAGATGGCGGCCATGTTGGTAGTTCCCACTCGCTAATAAACGCTTAGAAAACAACAATAACTTTCATTATTTGAATAGTTTAAAAATGTATTTGGAATAGGTTTAACTTAATGTTTAAGTTCCCTGTTTAAGAAATAGAAAATATACGAATCTTCTCATTTCATGGGAATATCCTGAGTCTGCAATCACGGCTTCAATTTTTGAATTGCAGAATAATTAGATATATTGTTTCAACAACTTGTCAACAAATTGTGAGTGACGACAACCTTGTAGCAACTTGATAAAATGACAGCATTGTTGCAACTTGTTACGAGTTTGCTACAAGCCTGTTGCGAACACATCTTGTTGACAAGTTGTGAGATTTTTACCTGTGTAATGTACAACCAGTCGGTAGGTACACACGTAAAAACACACAAGTTGTTACAAGTCTGCAAACAAGTTGTTACAAATCTGTTCACAAGCTGTCAACAAGTTGTCTTCGCACTGCTTGTTTCCAGTTGGAACAATTTTGGAACAAGCTGTTGACAACTTGTAACGAGCTTGGTGGCATTATCAGACTTGTCACAATGTTGTTCTAACAAGTCTGATACAGTCATGATGAACAAGAATGTTACAAGGTTGACGACACAGGGTTGTAACAATATTGTTATATCATGACTGTATCGGACTTGTTGGAACAACCTTGTATCAAGCCTGATAATATCAACAAGGTTGTTACAAATTGTTGACAGCTTGTTCCAAACTTGCTGACAACTTGGGACAAGCAGTGCGAACACAACTTGTTGACAGACTTGCTACAAAATGTGAGATTCTTACGCGTGTAACTCAGGTACACACGTAAAAACGCACAAGTTGTAACAAACCTGCAGGAGACTTGTAGCAATGCTGTTCCAACAACTTGTCAACAGGATGTGTTCGCACTGCTTGTTCCCAGCTTGTTGACAAGTTGTTAACGGCATGCATGTTGACAACTTGCTACAACATTGTTGAACTCAACTACTGTTGAACTGTCTACATGCATATATGCTGTATATATCGTATAGATTGTATGTGTAAACCACTCACCACTGAATTTAGTATAATTACTGCACTTAAAAAAATTTTTCCCAGTAATTGTTTCTGCATGCAATGATAATTTGCTAGGAATTCTGATATTATCATCAATAGCATTAGACAGCTCAAAGCATTGGATGTAAAAAAACCCCAGCCACATCACGTTAATTTCGAAAATTGTAAAAAATGTAAAAAATTAGCCATTTCACAAATGACTGCTCACAAAGCTCGGCCCAGCACTGGCCGAATTGTATCGTGATTGTGCCGAATTTATTGCACTTCAAACTTAGAAACCTTTCAGGAGATTTCGTCTGAACTATTCAATAGCCTACCAAACGATACTGATTAAAACACAGGAGGCCCAGGCTCGATTTGCCCGCGCCCGCCTGTGCCTTCCTTATAACGAGGGAAGGAAGGAAACATTGAGACCAAAATAGCCCAGACTGGCATATGTCACACGAAACTATCCTCGATTTTTCGCCTTTAATGCATTTCTTTCACGATTAATCGATATCCCCTGCAAGAATGATACCGTATAACTCTCAAAACAACGATGCTTTAATCAAAGAGCTTAAATTCGCTCTGAAATCCGTGAGGGAATAACAAAATTCGCCCAAAATATATCCGCGTGCCGGGTTTGCTGGACAAAAAGCGGAAGTCGTTGAACAACTCAAAATACACTCAACCCTGATTGGACAACGAAAATCAACAAACATTTCAAATTTTTCTCCACTGGGAGGGGGATAGTACTTGGAACAGTACTGTAATAATTTGATTATTTGAATCAAAACAATTCACAAACGTTATAAAGTCTACTACAAGTCGATTATATGTGTTACTGTAAATATAACTGTAAATATAACTATAATTTATCAAAATTTACGCTGAAATATCTTGTCAAATAGGGTAAATTACTATCCGTATTTACTGACTAAACTTCTTAAATTTAAATAATTAGATTTGCACTGGTTTTCCCCCGACAACATTTGTTAATTGTTTTGATTCAAATTTATATTACATTACTGACTACTGAAAATTTGAAATGTTTGTTGATTTTCGTTGTCCAATCAGGGTTGAGTGTATTTTGAGTTGTTCAACGACTTCCGCTTTTTGTCCAGCAAACCCGGCACGCGGATATATTTTGGGCGAATTTTGTTATTCCCTCACGGATTTCAGAGCGAATTTAAGCTCTTTGATTAAAGCATCGTTGTTTTGAGAGTTATACGGTATCATTCTTGCAGGGGATATCGATTAATCGTGAAAGAAATGCATTAAAGGCGAAAAATCGAGGATAGTTTCGTGTGACATATGCCAGTCTGGGCTATTTTGGTCTCAATGTTTCCTTCCTTCCCTCGTTATAAGGAAGGCACAGGCGGGCGCGGGCAAATCGAGCCTGGGCCTCCTGTGATTAAAACTATAAACAACTACAATCACTTTAACACTTTTGCACAGAGGTCAGAGCTATTCTTAAACAGCGTGCAAGTACATGAGTCATAACATACAGCTAATTCAAAAAAGGTTTTACTTTGAAAAACATCAGGCTAAACCTTAAACTCTAAGCGCGCAAAGCTTAATGGGAGCACAAGTTTTAAGCTTAGTAGTTGAATATTGCAGCTATTTGAGAACGGAATTGTTCTCGTGAGGAGATATTTACCATGTCTCTAAGAAATGGGCCCCATGCATGATATATGATTTCTAAACTAATTAATTATGCTTTGCACGCTTAGAGTTTAAGCTTTGGGGTTTAAGGTTTTTCAAAGGAAAACTTTTTTTGAATTAGCTGAATACACGTATACACAAGTACATAACCCTTATACATATACCATTTATATATCTAAATTAGTTGCATATAGTCATAGTCTTATTATATATATAGTACACTATTATAATGTCAGTTCTAATATGTTATTTGTAAATATAATTCATGTAATCTTCAATAGGGGAGGAGCCTCCTTGTGGATCTTATTGAATGAATCACGTATTTGCAATGAAAAGTGTTCAAAAGCTAAAATCTTTTTGGCATTCCTCAAAATTACTTTGCTTTAGCTTTATTCTCTAGTTTATAGAGTTAGCTACCTTTTTAAATGTATCTGCCGGTTGAGAAACATAAAATAATAGATAAAAATTGTCAATTCAAATACAATTATCAATGATGCTTTAAAATTGACGCCATATTTATAGCCAGATAATGAGCAAAACTTACTGAACTTCAGACATCATTTTCTCTTTGGCGTATCATCTAAAATCTCTCCATTTTAGCATTATTTTACAGATAAAGCACTAAACATTCTTTTTAAGTTTGTTTGCCGATTCAGAAACGTATCAAAAAATAAAAATTTTGAATTTAGTCATAACCTCAAGTGATACTTTAATTATACGCATTAGTTTTGAGCGCGTTTAACCCATTTTAACTGTTAACTGTTTTTTATGTTCACCATCAGCCACTGCAGGCAGACAATAATAAAAATTAATTATTACAATTTACATCCAAAGCAATGCTATTCATCACGTTCGCATTTCCCGGTACCCAATCAGTCTTTGTTTTACTGTCACGGCTCATGGTTATTGCCTTACAGGCATTGATTGGGTCACGTTTCGCGATACAAACCTGACAAACGTCCGTTATTTCACGAGTCGTGAAATGATGGCCAATCACGGGGTTTTTGGTCCCTGTTTGATCATATACATTTTCTGCAGTTTTCGAATAGCGATTAGCGGAACTTCTCACTGTTAGCGCATGTCGATTTCTTGAAACGATTTAATTGATTTGTGAGCTCAGTTTTAAATATCATGGTCAAACATGTCGAGGTTGTGACACAGCCATCGTTTCATATATAGCAACTGTCCAGTCACACATACGTGATAAAAAGCCGATATAAACTTTATAAATTAAAAAGATGATGTAAAACGTAACAGAATGGCGAACGATGCAGGCTGCAGAGGAGAGTAGGTAGTAAGGCTCCCTCAGGAGCCACGGGGGCAGCGGGGGCAACTGCCCCCATTGCCCAAACAGTGCGGGGGCAGCACGGGGGCAACATGTTGCCCTTTTTACCGAAACTGCACTTCGAAATTCATCCTTTAATTCACAGAAATAGGAATTTATAACAATTTTTAAACAATGTTTGAGCAGTCTTTGTTTAATTTTTAACCAGTTGTAGTAAAATTAATGCTAAATCAGGCAATATACGTCCTTTACTGATTTTATTTTGCGCCCTTAGCACGGTGCAACGAATAAAATTGTTCAAAATTAATGTCGAAGTTTTCCGACCCATAATAGCCACAAGTAATCGAGTATCCATACAGTAAAGTTTTAACAAATATTGCCGCCCAGAAAAATGACGGCTGAGAAGCAAGTGCCCTTTTGAAATGGCTGCCCCCGCCGCTTCACATTGCTTTCGGCGCCCCTGGGCTCCCTCGTGCACCACCCCGTGGACTTGCACCCCTCCTTGCAGATGAGGCTAGACCGCCCCTGGGTAAAATACAAGCCGGTGGACGATACGATACCCAAATAACAACGATTTATTTGCAACTGTGCGTGGGGGCGCGTTGTATGCCGGTATATTGGGCCAGTCTTTTGTCTATATCGGTATATCCGAGTACCTGTCATTTGCCATATTGTATGAGCACGCACTCAGTGCTCTGGAGAAAACACTTGCCTTGAAAAACAATAACAATTTGAATATCTTGTTGAACTTGAATACTTGACCTTAACAATTGAAAAGCCGTGTTGTCTATATGTTGAAATGTATATTGGCTTTCTTATCATTTACAACAAAATCAGTCAAGGGCGGCCAGATTCTTCCAAATATTATTGAGACCTTACGATTTTAGGGCGGCAACGCGACGACGGCCCGCCTGAAAACAAATGCTTCAAATAAATGGTAGTAAAGATAATTCGTGGTATATTATCAATCGTATGAATTTAATACAGTCTTAGAATAGAAGTTGAAGACATGGGTTTTATGTTTGGGAAGAGTTCTGCTGAACCCAGTTTGAAGTTGCACTTGTTGCTGCTTGAAATGCAGCCGTTGTATCAAGACGTGAAAATCTGTGATTTGGCGTTGCAAACAGCGAGAACAATGTTTGAATTATTCATATATTGTAATTATTCAATTCTTTTTAATGATTTATTGTATTGGTAGCCGTTGCCGTCCAAAATCATTCATAAGGTCTCAAAATACATGGTATTCCGCCGCCATTCAGTTGCCAAAGTCCCAATGACGGCTACCCTGAAATCCTGCAACAACGAATGCCTATATAGCCTCACTCTTTACCCGTGATCTTCCAGGTTTCGGGGTCCAGTTCTAACCGGTGGACGTATCGTTTCCTGAACATGTATAGCAATGTCACATGATTTCTGTACAAAGATCTGTTTGATATCCTCAATGTCATTTGTCGGCCAAGGTTGCAAACTACTTCCTCAGCGGCGATAATCCGAATCTTAATTTAATTTAAAGCGAACTAAAACCTCTCAAATTCTCCGAATGCAAAGAATACGATTTATGACTGCATGTTCGTTTCTAATTCTTTCAAATCCGGCTAAGAAACAAATATATGTTTCAATAGCTTATACCTTCCAATCTTCAGCTATAGCTCTTGTCAGATTGTAGTGCAGGAAATAGCATTCTAAAGGCCATAGGAACACAATTTTTTGGATTGGGGGATGCCAATAATTGCATGAACGTAGGGCGCAAATTAGACTTGCCACAAGTTGACCATGGGGGAGGGTGGGCAGGGGGGGGAGCGCGCGACCCGCGCGACGAAGGAAGTGAAGCGCGCCATAGAAGAGTCTGGAAAGGACTTTGGAAAGTCTAGCCGGCAAATGAAAGCCAGGCTCGTATTCAAAACTGTCAATCAATTAGCCCCTCAAAGATTGTGTGACTCTTTTAAAAATTCGAACACACTTCGACATGGCTTTTTATTCCCAGGACAAAATTCCTAAATAAAATTTTCAGTTTTAATATAATGGGGCTCAAATATGGAATCAGATACGGGAAGAGTTCGGTATCTTACGATTCATTTTGCAAAAAGCTTTCTTCCTCGACATTTGTTTTTAGAAATTAGTTGTAGACGTTATCATATGTTGTTGGAAACAATTACTAATATTTAAATAAGTTCAGTATATAAATATATGTATTTTGTAACATTATCACACCTCGTTTGGAAATCAGCTGTATATTGAAATATCATTGTGTTAAATAAAGTTTATCATCAATACATCATGAGATGATAACCTCTAACTGCAGAATGCGGGCTGACCATCTCGCTTGTGCAGTATCGAGTGGTAATTATAAGACTATGGTCTATATACACAGTAAAATGTTTTTGCGGCAAGGGCAGCGTGGCCAATATCCAGTGCTGGCTCGTCCCCAGTCGCTTACCCAACGCGCGCTGTATCGCATTCCCATGAATCATTGCATGAATAAGCAATGTTAGGGAGCCTGTGGAAGAGTCCGTATCCAGCGTTCTGTTCCTCGTGGGTAACCATTTCCCGTGGCGGGCTAGGACATCTGGTGATTTTGCAACTGGGGACGAGTCTGTCCGCAACCTTCAATTCTAGTTCGAAGAAATGACAATATATTCTATCTAGAAGTAAACTAAGACAGATTTCTAGAGACCACTTTAAAACTATAAAGCCAGTTTAGGTCAGTTTAGCAGCCATTACCAAGCCACGTGTCCATGTCCATAGAGATTATAAATAACACTAGAGGAGGCATCGAGTTTAAAAATTGGGAACGCAGCTAATGGGGGGCAAATTCAAGTCCCGGGTATAAAATCGTGCTCTCATTGGCTGATTTGAAACTCGTCACCAATGGGAACACGAATACACATCCGGGACTTGAATTTGCCCCCCAATAGTCGCGTTCCTTTTTTTACTGAATTAAGATTACAATGCCGCCTCTAGTGTTATTTATAATCTCTATGTCCATGTCAGTATTGTGCATAATCTTCTCTACGTCATAAGCGTCGGGGCAAGCACAGATTATCGCGGGCAGCCGGCAGCTCAAGAGTATAAAAAAGTTCTAGAATATTTTAGTAACTATGAAACTAGCTATAAGGTTATGTTTTTCCGGATATAAAACTAGTTTTTCATAGGTCTGAGGAATGTTCTGAGAACTCCTAAAATTATATTCTTCCAGGTTTAAATTGGTTCATGCCATTACGTTGCAATTTAATTTTATAAACTGTTTAAATATTCTAGAACTTTTCTTATACTCTTGAGTTGCAAAAACTAGATTGTTTTTTATTTCTATCAAACTATAATTACAGCATATTATATTTCCCACATTTTCCGTATGTCTCATAGTATACTGTATTTCTTCTGAGTCTTTCGCCAGACGCCATCGCTCCGCGATCAAATTGACTATTATTTTTGTTATTATTATTAGTTTAATTAAATCCATTTTGCAGCTAAAGCTGAATTACTTGGAAAACAATATTTACATTATTTAAATATTAAAATTTACGTTACTTAATGTTATACAGTAAGATAATATGTATTCTCATCCTAAATTACGGTAAATTACGATAATATACTCTAACTATTAAACTACCTATTGTAAAAATGTATTCATAAAAATTTAACTATATTTAATGGTAAAAAAGTTCTTTAACCGTTCAGACATTATCGGTAAGAGTTGCGGGTTATTATTACGCAGATCATAATGAGTTCGGTCTGGTAGACCGGATTTAACTATTGCAGTTGTTAAAGGGTACGTTGTGTGGCGAATCTTGGACTTGGTCTCGAAGGTTAATTAATTTCTTACATGCTTCTTCTCTTCTTGTACTCAGTAGTTTAATGAATAATGTTACTTTTCTGTAATGCTTCGTCATAAGATAGAGTGGGATAAGCGATTTTTAAAGCTCTTTTTTGCACCGACTCAATAAGGTGTGAAAATATGGGGTCGATTCTTTCATAGTCACAGAATTGAAACACTGCATCGCCTCAAGACCCGGCCGGACGAGAGTTGATAGAGCCACAGTCACGCATTGACGCATTGTTACAGCTCTAGATTATGAAATTAAAAGTTTCATGAGCGTTCCAGTGATGTTTTCAACGTGAATACTAAAAATTCGACATTTCGTGGAGCGAAGGAAGTCGGAGGGGCTCGCACAGCTAACCAAGATCTCGTGGCCGTCAGCAGTTGCATTCACGTTTGATACGAGAGAAAATTATAGAACTGAATCACATTTACATGTTTATTATAGAAAAATTTCGAAACTTCTGGCTGCATTTTTTTTACCTCTAAACTGTCTTTGTCTTTCGTTTACCTTGGCATCGAACCACTCAGAATCACTGAGGCAAGTACCCGTTGTTACGTCATCGTTACGTAAGAAGTTGCACAATTATGCGGTCGGATTTCACCGGTTATAAACAGTGTAAACAAAATGCATTTGTCGGCCTTGGTCTGCCATCGATAGTCGTGGACTCGAAGTTGTTGTTGACTGCTGAGAGAAATCTTAAACAGGACTCGGATATCACGATGGATCATTCTACAAAGTTTGCTTGCAAGAATTGCGGCGATACATTTCGTTGGGAAAAGGAGCTGTCGAAACATCGACGATTGGATTGCAAGAAAAAGCCGTACGGTTGCCCTGAGTGTGGTCAGCTCTTGTCCCGACGCGATTCGTTGAGACAGCATTTACAACGACATGGAGGTGGCAGGAAATATCCTTGTAAGTTCTGCGATAAGACGTTCGATCAGCAACAGAATTTGAAGGTCCATCTACGAATTCATTCGGGGGAACGTCCGTATAAATGCCCGGAATGTGGACGGCAGTTTAACCAATCTCAAAACCTAACCACGCATCTTCGTGTACATAGTGGCGTCAAGCCTTACGTTTGTAATATTTGCGGGGCAACTTTCAGATTCTGCAGTGGGTACAGGAGTCATATGTCCAGATCACACGATCCTTCAAAACCTGCCAGGAAACGGGGAAGGAGTAAAGCGATTGCTTCTCAGAAACAGGAGCTTCCTGAAGCAAAGGTAAATCAAGTTCATCGCGTCAGCGTCATTGCAAGAGTTTCCACGTCGTCAAGCATGGACGGTTTCAGCTCAATCCAGAGTGTTCCATCAAAAGATACTTGCACTGAGGCCGAGCCTTTAGAAGACAATATCGAAATTCCTTCCCCATTCAATGCTGGGCTTCTGGTTCATTCGGCAAAACCTGTAGTTTCTCCTCCGGTTCCAACTGTACCCGACCTACAATTCACGTGTCAATTATGTAATCTTGTGACTTTCAATGAGGCTGACATTATACAACATATGATTGTTGTTCATGGCCTGCCCCTAAATGATATTGCTACATGAAGAAAGAGGCGAACAAAGTTCATTAAAAACGTCTTCTGGAGTTCCACAACTTCCACAGACGACAAACCTGGTGTTATTAACGTGTAGAGAGGTTTAGAAAGGACTGAGTCAGGGGCAAGGACCAATGTCGTAACTCGTAAGTCGTGATTTGTCTTCAAAAAACAATATTGAATAGTTGTTGACAAATTAATTTTGTCTTTGTACATATTTATGAGAGATTTTAGTGTTATTTATTTATCCAACACATCCACGCACAGCTGCAGTGTATAGTTACGTAATGGTGTGGTGCACGTAGTTGACTTAAATCATTTTCTGCAAGAATAAACTAATTTTAGATATCTTGAATGTTTTGTGCGGTGGCATGCGGCGAAGAGGGCGATTTGTGGGCTTCTTTGTACGATGCAACTTATCCGAGAAATAATGAGAACAATCGTCGACGTTTCGAACGAATTGAAATTATTGAATAAGGCTGTTTGTTCGTTTGGAAGTTATATAGTAGCCAAACAAGGCCCAGCTTTGCCGAATTACCGCGCCCTGGATTACCTGAGTCTGAAAAATAGAACAGGCTTCGATATTTCGAGTCAAAGGCTTTGTCGAGCCAAAGGCTTTCGCCAGTATTCTAAAAGCACACTCAAAGAGTGGAGTTTCAATCTGAGCTTCCCTGGAAGGCTTGACTCTTGAGTGCCAGTGCTGTTTTTGAATATAACTGGTCGTTAGTGTCGTACCTTGCTAAGTGACTACTCACTCTCCCCAGCTATTCACAAACAGCAGTGACACTCGAGGGAAGCTCGGACTCTTTGAGTGTGAGTGAGCTTTTAGAATACAGGAGTTTGTCTCGAAATATCGAAGGTTGTACTATTTTTCAAATTCTGGTAATTCAACGCGCGGTAATCCATATATTTAGTCGTATACGTGACTGGCTATTAGCGGTGTACTCCGGCACATATAGGCTTTAAAATGCAATACATAAAGTAAAATTTCAGAAAGATATTCATTCAGCAACCTGGGGTTGGAACAAGAACAAGTGGTAGGACTATAATAATGAAATAATAATTTGCATGGGTATAAATTGTATGTTTTGAAGGATTTGTAAGAAATGTTTGAGGTAATTGAAATTACTCAGTGTTAATATACAGTAAGCCAGTTCCCTCGAACATGTCTCGGTACAAATCGTTCAAAATTACCCATGCAAAAGTCCCATTGTCATCACAGAAACTTTGTCTTTGATAGTGTAAACCATGCGGCCTTTATTCCAATCAATCAGTTCAAACATAATGACCTTGGCTGGACTTGAAATGGTCATGTGTGGTACGAGCAAAATGTTAGTACGCAGATAGCAAGAGTTCCACGTCGTATCTTTACGCACTGAAATTTGTTTTCATCTTATTTACTGGAATGCCATGTAATTTACTTCAGTCTTGCTTAAAAATTTCACAAAAGCATTTTGCAAGACGAGATTGTCTTTCTTGTATGCCGAGACTAAAGTCACCTGTTGTGCGCGTCATCATATACGTTCTTTGAAATCGACAGACTACATGTGCAGGACATTATACGTTTGACTTATACAGGAAACTTTTATTTTTAGATTTTACTACCAGGAAGAGAAATCTATTCTCTAGGCGTGATTTACCCATAGATATCTTATATACACTAGATAGTGCATCTAAAGCCTGGTTCACATATGCCTGCGCTATGCTTGCGACTGTATCATTATGCGGCTCTACTTGCCGCCGAAATACCGGCAAAGTTGAACTCAAGTCAACTTTCCCGGCCTACCGCCGATGTAACTGAGGCACTGGAGGCAATCGGCGAACAAATATTCACATAATTTACGTTTTAAGCTACCATCGGCATCGTCGCCGGTACGTCGCAGGCATATATGTGAACCAGGCTTAACTATTATATTCTGCAATTCGGAAATTGAAGCCGTGATTGCATGCCTCAGGATATTCCCATGAAATGAGAAGACTCGTACAGGGGACTTAAACATTAAGTTAAACCTATTCCAAATACATTTTCAAATTATTCAAATGATGAAAGTTGTTGTTTTTCAAGCGTTTATTAGCGAGTGGGAAACTCCAACATGGCAGCCATCTATTCAAATGGGGGTAACCGCTGGAATATTCTTGGCTTCAATTTTACTAAAATCTAGTGTATACATAGTTAATATAAGATATCTATGGATTTACCGTACCCGCGGTGGTGTCATCGTACGCCGCGGAGAATCCCGCAAGAAATATGTGAAATGTGTGCTTCCTGCATTGGCAGTGACAGACAACGTCCAGAAACTCTGTCTGCGTTCCTAGAGAAACTCGATATTGCAAATACCGGTATGTCGTCATCCATCATACCAGTATATACCAGTATATTGTTATTTTTGCTAATTACAGCAAAATTTCCCGCTGGGCGCTGGACAATAGTCACCCACTGTATAATATGAGCTATTCTGCAATCTGATTGGTTGAGCTAGTCGCCGTGTATTAGGTTATCACCTCGCCGGCGAGTAGCGAAAAACGGAAAGATGGCGGCACACCGAAACTACAAGAGTTTTGCGAATCGGAAAAAGAGGAGAATTCGTTTTGAAAAATGATGAATACACTAAAAAAAACAACTCCCAAACATTTTTGACAGGTTCGCAAGTACATTCACTATACAGAAACTTGTTTAAATACAAGATTTTTAAAATAATACTGAAAGAGCAGTCCCCTTGACCTTCCATTGCAGGCGAGGATTGACGGCAGACCACAAATGGCCAACTACAAATTGCATTTCAAGGCACACGTTTTCGACAGCTATAAGTAGCTGATTCATGCATTGCTTCATGATCATTTTATTAATGCACAAACTCCGCCCTAACTTCCAACAGCTAAAGTTGACTTCAGAAGACGATTTGAAGTTTGTGGCCAGCAGCCGGTTGTATAAAAAAGCGATTAAAGTTAACTACAGTTAAGTGGAAACGTCATCCAATAATAAGCGCCTATTTAAGAGTTAATCACTATTTAACTACAAAATAGTGATTAAAAAAGTGATTAAGAGTTTTATACAACCGGCCACAGGTCTCTAAATTGAGTAAATTCTAATATTTATTTAGTTATTTTATTTTACAAGATTTGCCACACACAAACATATTAAATACCATCACTAAACCATTACACAATATTACATAATTTACATATAGTACAGGTAGGGACTGACCAGAGATAATAGGGACCTTAAAAGATTGAATTTTGCGGCAAACCACAAACATCAAATCGCATTTGAAAGTAAGGCCCACAATTTCGACAGCTAAAAGTAACTAATCCATGCTCCAATTTTAACGGTTGACTTTAACAGTTGAAGTTTGCCGTTGGCGTTAGCGGTTTGTCGTAAACGTCAATCTTAATCCCTAATCTCCAATAACGGGATCCCGAACACTGAATATTAGCAACACATCTACATAACTATTGGCTTTGGCTAAACTGTCAACATGCTCTTACTGATAAACTTGGCATTTAGCGCAAACAGACTTGAATGTTCTTGGGTCGGTCACTTGTCCGGGTTGTGAATATGTTCCATTCTCGTACCCACAGCCCTTCTTACGCGCGGTGCGACGAGGGGCTCTGGCCAAATCCATAACCGGATACCATAAAAACATGGTAAGAAAACAATGTCCGGTGTTAGAACTAGCCAATCAGATGCAATCAGATGCCAGTTCGGAATATGGATTTGGCCAGAGCCCCTCGTCGCACCACGCGTAAGAAGGGCTCTGGGTACGAGAATGAATATGTTCTAAAAGCTGACTCTTCCACAGTCCCCCGTTACATTTTAGTGCGGGAGAATATGCCCGTTCGCGGGTTAGGCGTTGACAGCTACACCTCGGAAATCTAACCCATTCCCATCATCCAACGCGAGCGACTGTGGACGAGTTAGTTCTAGAAGCGGTCGAAGTAGTTGATCCGGGCTTTAATTCCGGTCAACCTGCAAGCCCTGTCAAACTACCAACCCTAGAATAATCAGGCGGAAACTATGCCAATTGATGGAAATGTGCTAGAATCACTCCTGTTCATAAGGAGGGTTGCATTGCGTTGCAAAATGAATCCCAACAACTATAGACCAATATCTGTCTTATCTGTAATTCCTAAAATATTTGGGAAAGTAATCTTTGACCAAATGTATGAATATTTAACCACACACAATCTTCTTTCTAATTTGTAATCTGGTTTTAAACCCTTGCATTCCACATTGACGGCTGCATTACTTGATGCTACTGATCAATGGTATACTAATATGGACAATAGATTAATTAATGGAATCCTGTTCATGCATTGACCTTAAGAAAGCTTTTGATACAATTGATCACAATATTCTATTAAAAAAACCCTCATGCTATGGTTTCAGTAGCAATACTCTCGATCTATCGTAACTATCGGCTCTCTGAACGAACTCAAGTTACTGTTATTAATAATATATCATCGCAAAAATGCAGTCTTCAGTGTGGGGTCCCACAAGGATCTATTTTGGGGCCACTCCTATTTCTGATATATATTAACGATCTACCATGCAGATCGTAATCTCATGTCTGACTGCCGCCTTTTTGCTGATGACACAAATTTGACATATGCGGAATAAAGACTACAACCAAGTTTTCTCTGCTATGAACAGCGACCTAAATATCCTAAAAAATTGGCTCGATGCTAATAAACTAAGCTTAAATGCTCTTAAAACTAAATGTATGTTTATATCCTCACGCCACAAGTTAGCAACCATACCTGATCAACCGGAAATTTCAGCTAATGGACATACTATTAAGCGAGTGTTAAAACATACAAAAGCTTAGCCATTGAATTGGATGAGCTCTTATCTTGGGATGAACATATAATCATGATTACCAAAGTAACCCAGGTAATGGGAGCTCTCGGGCGGTTAAAATCATATCTCCCACTGTCAGTCCTCGTCATCATTACAGTATAAGTCGTTGCCGGATCCAACCACATTTTGATTATTGCAGTAGCGTCTGGGGCAATTTAGGGAAGGTCTTGGGATGTAAGCTTCAAAAATTACAAAACAGAGCTGCACGGATTATTATGGGGTCCGACTGCAATGTTCGTTCATTTCCAGTGGCGGCGCCCCCCCATTTTGCCCCCGCTCAAAAAAAGTTGTTAGTCACTAAGAGCGACTAAAGGCTGCACAAGCGTTCTGTCGTTATCGAAAAATGTATGACTTATAAGTTGTCATTACTCATTAGTGAATGCGCGTATACATGAAACTGTTTTTACAGTTTCAATATTAGTTTGTAAATCTCCGAATGGTAAAACTTGCCAATACTCCAATAATACGTTTCAAAAAAAGACAAAAAAGCTTTAGTTTTGCAGAGTTAAATTCTCAAACGTGTAAGGCAATAATAAGATGAAAGTATCACGAAATTATTTGGATAAACCACATCGCATATATGGGGGGCGAATGTCCTAAAGAGGGGCGATATTCCTAGGGTATTTGCCCCACCCCCCTGGGAGGCGATATTCCCAGGATATTCGCCCCCGGGGGCGATATTCCTAGGAATATCGCCACGTTTTGAGGGGGGGGGGGCGAATTTCCTGGGGGGGGGGGCGATCTTTTTAAAAATTCTATCTTGCCCCCCCAAAATTTGAGTTTGCCCCTCAAATGCCCCCCCAAATTTGGAAGCCTGGCGCCGCCACTGTTCAGTTCAGATTTTGAACTCGCCAAACTGGGATAACCTAAATGGTACCCGACTATCTTTCAAGCAAATTCACGCCAACTAATGTGATACACAGCTACAATCTTCGTCACTGTGATTCTAAGCTTTTCAGTCCCAAGACCTTGACTGAGTCTCTTAAGAAAAGTTTTACTTATAGAGGAACCGCCTGACCTGTCGAAGCTGTAAATGTTACATCTGGGGCCGGTTGTTCGAAGACCGGATAGCGCGCTATCCGGCGCTATCCACCGGATGGTGATTTTTTCAAACTTTGTTAGTAAATCAGTCGTTGATTGGTATAACTCGTATTAAAGTTTAGTATTTGTATAAAGTTAAATATTTTTATACTTCTTGTGTCCTCTATATCCGTAGTTTCACAGTTTTTCAAGCACTTTTACAAAGGTTGAAAAAATCACTATATCCGGTGGATCAGTGCTATCCGGCCTTCGTACAACCGGACCCTGTAGTTAATTTCAAAAATATTACTGGACAATCCTAATTTTCTTCTACTTTTCTTTAAGCCGTTTACAGACGAGAAAGTTTTCTATGACAAGTTTTTATGTGACAAGTTTTATTTGCCAAGTGCACGTCGTGTGTATCTGCAACAAATTTTATATGACAAGTTTTCAGTCAACAACTAGTACTCAACAAGTTTACCGTTTGACAATGTATTAGTAGCCAGCAATGTAATAGTACAGCGGACAACGCGAGCGCTGGCCAATCACATCAAATGCTCAGATTACTTTGACAAATTTTCTTTGTTGAATGTTGACCCATACAGAAGATATCTATGAATTTTGTTCAAATTTGTACTTTGACAATTTTTTCTATGACAAGTGCACTTGTTCACAAGCTAGCGCATGCTAGCTTTTGAACAAGTGCACTTGTCATAGCAAAAATTGTCAAAGTTGCGCGTACAGACGAGCAAATAAATCTTGTCTCATAAAAAACTTGTCATAGAAAACTTGCTTGTCAGTAACCGGCTTTAGTATTGTGATTCTTAGTTGTAATTGTAATTTGTAATTGTAATAGTATTATGTAGATATTTTTAATGTGCACGGCTCCATGGAAGAGCACATTTTGTGAAATAAAGTTTTAATAATAATAATAATAATAATAATAATAATAAAAGGCCGAGAAACTTGGCTCTCTGAGGCTCTCATCTCCGCTCGTCCACAAGAGACGAGACCCTGGGAACGAGGTTTCAAGGAGATCGCTGATCTGGATTACACAAACTGGTATTACGAGGGATGAATCACACCAGAAAAATGCCAGACATCTTTCAGAAAATATTCGTGAAAATCTCCCGCTATGTAACAGATAATCCCATGTGGATAATCCTTAAGATCTTGAAAAAAGCCCCTAAAAACATCAAGACTGGAAATAGATCCCCACATCATCAGAAAAACTGCAAAACTGAAAGTCTTGAGCGATCATTTGAAAAAATGTAAGAATCTAAGCCCAACGCAGACAAATTAGGGACTGATTACATGGAGAGTTTTCATCCTGGCTGAATTTCAACCCAGTTAACTGAGCTGAAATTGTTTCACGATTACATAGCAAGTTTAACTAGCCCGAGCAGAGTTTAAATTTCATTTCAAACCGAGATGAAATCTCAGCCCCGCGGGCTGAAATGGAGCTATATTCTGCTTCTTCAAAGAATTTAAAATGTTATTCATGTCTAGTACTAGGGCCTGTTCATATGAGCCGGGCTGACTCGCCAGTGGCGAGATCTCGCCTCAGTGTATGTTGTTTTTATATGTTTTTGAGATTTGATTCGTATGTGAACCGGGCTGGTCCGGTTTGCCGGGCTCCCGTTTGAGCGAGACGAGATCTCGCCTTCCCGGGCTCATATGAACACACTTATATAGCGGGAAATTGTGTCACAACGCATGCTTTATTCTATCTAGAAAACATCTAAGAAACTCGGCCCGGGTTGAAACTCTCCATGACCATGTAAGGGACCGGTCATTATTTATGGCGGGGGGTGGCACCGAAGAGAAAACGGTTGGGTAAACACAATTTTGAGTGAGTAAAAGGTTGGGTAAATGAAAAACGAAACAACTCAAAGGTTGGGTAATAAAAATTTATTGTCATTTCCAAAGCATGACTCACTCAAATATCGAAGACTGAAAACTGCAATGTCAACAGTCATATGTCAATACAATATGTCAATCAGAGTCACTATCTTGATGATTTTCCGATTTGTTGGGAGACAAATGGTGTCTCCAAAGAAAGTAAATGTGCAGACAACATGAAGCTTTAGACTGCAGAAAAGTCAGTAAATTTCACAAGCCGAACGTTATCAAACTCGTATTACAGAAGTGGTAAAGGACATATGTGACAACTGAATGACATCCTTTTCTAACGTTTTTGGCCAGGGGTGGGTTTTTATTTTTTAAATGATATTTGAGGTTGGGTAATCAAATTTTTGATATCTCTTCTCTATTCTCTTCGGTGCCACCCCCCACCATAAATAATGACCCGTCCCTAAATACTAATGAGCCCCTTATATAGTGCTATCCAGTCAAGATTCTGCAGTGATACGAATGTTCCATTTTCTTCATATTACTGTTTTCAAAATGCATTTGTTCTCCAAGTCATCCGGTCGCTCAGCCGTAATTATAGCAAGCCTCATTCACCTCTGAGATCGTGGCTACAGACTCATGTTAAAAGAGTCAGTCAACGCTCTGCCGAAAGTCATGGATTTTCTCCGGGAGGTCCGGTTTCCTCCCACAGGGAAAGTTGACAGGGCCCATGGGTTAGGATAAACATAGTTAGGAAAGTAATATCACTGATTGTTGTAAAGATAAATAGTCTAGCGCCTAAGTACTATAAATTAGCGTAATATTTGATGTCTCACTGCGAAAAGCCCCGATATAAGATGGGTGACAATCTATGTATTTATTCATTTTCTTGATTTTGCGAGATTTTTGCAGTATCATGCACAAAATGTCCAAAATCTCGTACATTTTTTCGTGAAGTCAGTGGAGGGTCTCTATTAGTTTCATCGGATTTGCAATGGAAACTATAGGGACTCAATGCAACATTGTGAAATCTTTGCGGGGAACCAGGAAATAACAAAGGAAAAATTTCCACGGGAACACAGAGGCTCCCTGGGAGGCCCTCAGTGATGCACTCCTCCACAAGTGGTATTTGGTATTCTCAAACTCATTAAGATCCAAGTACCACGTGTGGTGGTCAACATCAAATATTAGACAGATTTAGGGAGCATCCATTTTTTAGCTGGGGAGGTGGGCCGGAGGAATTTGGGGGGTGGGTCAGCCAATTTTGACATGCTTCAAAGGGGTGGGTCTTTTTATAGTTTTGGTATAAATGGAGGGAGTCATAAAAATAATCAGTGAAAAAATCACCAATATAATTTTATAGAATTTGGAACAAATATAGATCAAGAATGGTAAAAAGGTCTGAATCTATCAACTATCTCATCATCTTTAACAAAGAAGCAAAATTCGTTTGACGCTCTTTTCACACAGTCCATATGAAAACATTTTCATGACTTTCGTCAATTGACCTCGTTTTTATCCGTTTTTGTGTGAAAACATGAATGAAAACGCTACAGAAACGACACCGTATGGATTAATAATGGTTAGGATGAGGGGTCAAAAACATTTTCAGTAAAAAAATAGGGAGTCATAATTTTTTATCAACTTTTCTCTCGGGGGTTCCAAGTTTTAGCATGGAATTATACATCAGTTCCTCCGGCCCACCCCCAGCTAAAAAATGAATGCTCCCTCAGATAAAACGACGAGGCAACTCGAGTCTCGACGACGCAATCTCGATTTCGGTTCAAGATTGAGAGCTAAGAGCCTAAGAAACTTGATTACTGTAATAAACTGAAGCTCATTTTTAAGATAACGTTATACAAACGGGTACGTTCGGGAAAAACGATCCGGTGTCTGCTGTGAGACACTTCAACAACGCAACAATTAAGCATTCACGTTGCTCCAATATGCCGTGAAAATCGTAGTTTAACGTCAGAATTACAACGTTGTTGAGGATACCCCAGGGGTCACAAATTATTCAAACTTTTTGTTTTGAAAAGAAGAATTTCTTTGTTTCGAAGGCGCCGTCTTTCCGAGTTCGCGTCGTGTTTACTAAATCAGCCTACTACTCTAACGACAGATTCTATTTAACTCCTCTAATATCTCAACGTACAAGCATTCAATTGCTTCTAAACGTTGCAGTGCATTAGTTTTAAGGATTGTTCAGTGGTGGGGCAAAACTGCCAAAGGGCCCATTTTCCTTGCGAGCAGAGTACCGCTGGCGTTAGCTAGGGGGGTTGAAGCTGGGGGCATGTCCCCCCAAGGAAATTTTGTAAAATTTGGGTCTCTGAAATAGCATTTTCTGCATTCTGAGAACATTTAAAAAAAATCTCAGCTTCTCAAAACAATGTTTTCAGTGGTGAAATTTGTAATACATTGCATGCTAAACATTCAAACATGACATAAGTTTAAGTATGCTCACCAACAAATTTTGTTTTTTAAACTTCTTTTCAATGTTAAACTCATTTACTCAATACAGATCCTAGGGCCCTGACTTTGAGGCAATAGGCCATTTTTTTCTTCAGTGGTGGGGCAGAGGAAGAGGGGCCCAGTGGGGCAAATGCCCCACCAGTCCATGGTATTAAAAAATGCCTTGAAACGTTGTTGAGGATACTCCTGGGGTCACAAATGATGGTAAACGTTTTGTTTGGCATGAAGAATTTCTTTATTTCGAAGGCGCCGTATTGAAGTTCACGACTTCGCGTCGTGTTTTCTAAATCGGTCTATCAAAGTAGAGAGAGGTGAACAAGACGACGAAAACGTTCCTGACAATTTTTGCCCGTTTGCGCATTATCTTCATGTGGTGACTGGTTGCTCAACGCATATATTGTTGACCCTAAGGCCTATGGAATTAAGATATCAGTTTACCGTCACCTAAATTTTCAAAAGTAATTGATGAGACTTTTTTTTCATTATTCATTATTTTAGATGCGTCAAATTTGACAAATTTTGGCTGAAAATTCAACAAATTTCACCAAAAATTCGGAAATTTTTTGACGATTCTTGTGCATTTGGCAAACGCGCTGTAGATTGTACGTGGTTCGTCGTAGGCTCCGTTTCGAAAGTATCAATATAGACTGTATTCTTACAAAATTTCAAGAAAAAAACAAATTTACAAAGCACTTTGTATTAAAATGAGACAAATAATGAAAAATAATCAAATTAAGAAAATTTTCACGTGGCGGGTTACGGTAAACTTATACCTCAATTCCATCTCGGCCTAGCTAATCCTTACCGTGACTCAGTCAAAACAGCGAGACAGTGAAACTATATCCCTTTGTTCTTTTTCTTTTTGATCAACTTTTGTTCTTCATCACAAGGTTTGGTCTTTGACATCTTTCTTAGACAGTGACTATGCATCGGTTATGGTATAAACCTCAACCTCAACACCAGGCTCAATGCTCATTGATAGCTATTGATGTGATTTGTTTCATAATCTCGGAAGGACTGTGCAAATCAATCAATCTTCAAGTTATGAATCCTCATCTCAAATCTGTCCCAAGTCTTAGATCCTTCACCACATGGCGTCTTCCTTGTTGTGATCCTCAGACGTTTGGTGGGCAATCGTACATGACCTTTGACTTGAAGCTTCTTCTCCTTAGCGCCCTTGATCAGAATATCATCAGATCACTGCAAACCTTTTCATGACTTTTCACATTTCTGCTTGTCAATGTAATTCGGATTCTATGAATCTGGGCTTCTTCTTCGGGACTTCTTTTAACTTTGAAAGACCTTTTAATTAATTTCCGGTCGACGACGTAGCGACGTGACCACGCCTATCCGTACTGGCCTTTTAGGAACGCTATTTTCAGAGGAATTATTGCAACGGAGAGATGTGTCTCGCTCAGCTTCTGAAAGTTGTTTACATTCCGTATCGGATAGGTGCTTTTTCGCGCCGCTACGGAAAGTTATCCCGCGTTTATTTATTATTTTATCCATTATTTATTATAGTTAAAATTTTTATGCGGTGCTTTTTAAATAGAATCTGTAAATTCATTAAAGTGCCTATGACACGAAATTTCACCCCAAAGGTTTATGGTTGCATCGTAAAGATCACTTAAAATGACTTAACAATTTCTTTTATAGAATTTTGGTAACTTGCTCCATTTTCAAGATATTCATCTTTGTCCATATGCAAATATCACCGGTGTGACATCACATCACATAATGAGTTTTCGGAAAAGTATAGTTTTCTTGACGAATACGTATCTAAAAAACTTAATGATTGCCTTGCATATGTATTAATTTCATAACAGCCAATTAACCCTCTGTATTTGCGGTTTGTAAAAACATTTTATCAAAGTAAAATATTGCGTTTTCAAAATGTCATTATGCGATGTGATGTCACACCGGTGATATTTGCATATGAAACAAAGTTGAATATCTTGCAAAGGAAGCAAGTTACCAAAATTCTATAAAATAAATTATGAAGTTATTTTAAGTGATCTTTACAATGCAGTTATAAACATTTGGGGTGAAATTTCGTGTCATAGGCACTTTAACCCATGTACATAATTAGCAGTATATTAATAATACAAAAGTAGAGTAGTGCTTTTTTAGTGATACATGTAAAACACGCAATTCCTACAGTTATTGGCTACAATGTGGTAAAATTTTTAATTAAATTAAAAATTAAAAAGTGGTGTAAACATTAAACAACGCCCTACCCCCTTCTCGTAGCCTTGGTCGGTTTAAGTGCATGGCGTAGCCAAAGGGGAAGTGCGCCCTACCCCCTTCTCGATATGCCTCCAGGACAAAAAAGTGGAAGGGGCCGGGGTTGCATTGTCAGGTACAAATTCAAACTTTCTCTGGGGATCATGCCCTCTCCCCCTCCCGCCGCTACCCTCCGGGGTCTCGCGATTGTTCGTCGCTTGGCGTAAGAACAACAACGTCTGTGAGCAGGCTATGCGATTGAAAATATCAAGCAAAAGTTTCTTAATTAATTAATTTAAAAAAATTGATTTAATTGGGGTTTTTTCAGATCAAAAAATAGACACTTCCGCATTTCCCTCGATAGAACAATACAATCATGGAACAATAGCTATTACCTCAACTGTAAACATAAAAGGACTGGCTCGTTGGACAACTTGGACCAGGGCGTAGTTGGACTAATCAGAAGTTTGCGTTTATTTGCGTTGGACATGAAGTTAATTACGCTCAAATTAGGAAAGACATTACCATAGGCTATTTTATCTGCGTTTTCATAGGCGCTATTGTATTATTTTATAGGCTGCGTTTTTATCTATTTTATCTTTTATATTTATTAATGTTGGATTTTTTACGTTACATACATAGCGAAACTATATAGTAATATAAATAAGCTAAACATGCAAAGATTGCCAAGTTTTTGTGTCTTTCTTTATTACACTCTGGTTATCCATTAAAAGCACTTATTTGAGTACAATCCAACACAAGGATCAAACTTTTCTGGATATATGTGGAATTACCGTTTGGTTTATTGTGCCAATGATATATTAGAACTCTCGCGCAACGGGATCCCATAGAAAACGCATCTTTTGATTTTACCGACATTTTTCAAAGCATGTTTATTTAACAATCGAACCTGCCCCAAATGATGTACTATTTCAATCAACAGCATCATTCATTTGATTTATTAAAAACAAGGCTTTAATTTGCACTAACCTTCGTCTATAATTGCGGTTACGACTAAGTTCTAAAGGGCAACGATTCGAGTAAAATTTTGCATATTGCTTATGTTTCTCGGTAAATCGATTCGGAAATTAAAAGTTTAGTAAGGCACTGTGTTTCGCCGTAGGATGCCGTTGTGACAAAACCTAGCTGTGCGGTATTTCCTGACAACATTTATTTTAATATGCTGTATGATTTTGGGGAAAGCATTATGAATTCTATCCTATAACGCTCTCCTTTTGCATTTATATGTTTTATGTGCAGTTTATGTACAAATTTGGGCAGTAAATGTTAAATTCAATTACAGGAAATGCGAACGTTGAACGTTTATTTTGAGTTTGTAATTCCACATCGTTGGCATTGAAATATGAGCATATATCCCGCTGTGCGTCTTAATGCTCATTGGTCGCTTATAATCAGCTTAACTGTTCACTGTTTTGGATACTTTAAAAGTAGGAGACTTGTGTATTTTGAAAGACGGAAAACACCGCATCATGAACTAAAAATTTTACAGGGGAAATTTGTATTGAAATAAGTAAATTTCCAAAGTTAACGCTTCGAATCACGAGTGAATATATAATAATGAGCATCAGTTTGGCGTATGGTTTTTTACGTCTCGCATGTCCACGCGGGACTTCCACGCACATTCTGTTCTTGTTTGTATATTTTGGAAAAGTGTCAAAGCATGGGATTGTTACGGGATTAATGATACAAGTCGGGCAAGTTTTCTTGAAGTTTTCATGGAAAGAACAAGCAGAATGAAATCGTTTATTGTTGCGTTTGTTTATATTACAAGTGTGCCTATTTTAGGTAAGAATTCGTAGTATTAGATCAAACCATACTTAGTGTAATGCTTAATTGTTGTAGGCCTCGCTGCGGCGGTCGAATTCAATAGAAAATCCCGATGTAAATACACTATAAACTTCAAAACTACATACTTTAATTGCGTATCTATGTGTCTGCCATTGCATATGTATATATAGATCAGGAAAAAAGTTATACTCAAAACGAAGGTTCACTATTAATTCTAATTAATAAATCTGTTATATTGTGTGTTTTCGTCGGCTCACGGCTGTCTGACGTAAATATAACTTGAGTATTAATGTTTGTTTAGTTAAGAAGCGCTGATAAACTAAGCGTTCTTGTAAAAACGACAATTCATTGACCTTTTGGGGTTTGGTGTAATGGTTTATCCATGCTCATTGTGTTCAGTTTAACAATATTATGATGTACAATACCAATAATAAAGCACTTGTTCCTTCAAGTATGTGGGTAGGCCCGTATTGTGTGTTTGACTAAACTTTTATTGATTTAATGACAAAGCTGTGCCTAATTATGAAACGTGATTCGGAATTATTACAAGTGTTGATCGTTATCGAATACAGATTGTCCATATCGAGATAAAATCCCTATCTGCAGAACATATGAATTGGAGTTCGAATGATAAAACACTTCAGAATTCCCACATTTCCTTTCGGAAGATAAATTGCTTCCTGCAAGAAACAGGTCTCAGATTTTTCCTTATCTTTTTCAAATGCTCTACCAAGCAGGCCGAAATGTGATTATTAAAACAGATAGGTACCTTTCAGCCGACAACAATATATTTGTAACGCTCTATTAGTTCGCTTTGTAGCTTACAATGTTTTTTCATTAGGCATTACAAAGAGCTCGTATGTCAATGTGTGGGGTTTCGTATACACAGATAATAATATGGGGTGAGACTTTAGTCTAGTCTCAGAGGTGTTCTCTCTATGCAGCTTGACACATACAGGGCTTTTATGGGCACCATTTTTGATTTACGAGTACAATTATAAGTTGCGGCAATGTGCCATGTTCATCAATCTGATCAGGCCTTGTACTTTAAAGCTATAGTGACACAACTGTTTCCAGATGTTAAGGCCAGAATTCCACATAAATAGCTGCTCCCATTGGTGTATTTTTGTAATCCATTAATGGTTATCAGCAATTGATTACCATTGATTAAACCTATTGAATTAATTTGAACACATACCCCCAGTGGTTAAAATGATTGCTTCCAAAACAGGAGCGTGTTTCATAGTTTTTATTTGAGAGCGAATGGGAACACAAGTTGTAATGCAACTCTGCATAATTTTTCCAATCTTAATTTTTTTTAGTCAATTTCTGCATAATTTTATGCTACCGTACATGCACTGCCGTTTGTTTATTGTTCGATTATTGTTAAAACTATTTGACCAATCAAAACATATATTTCACCAATCAAATACCAATACACTCTTCCGGAAAGTAAGTCACCTTGGCTATAGAGCCTCGTTTTCGTGATTGAGACGTGGACTTTAACTGATGTCACATACACAAAAACGAGGCTCTATAGCCAAAGTGACGTACTTTCTGGAAAGGTGTATTGAGTTGCAGCACTCTCTCTTCAAATGGTGAGTAAAATTATCTGGCTTTTGGACAGAGTAAAATAATAAAGTGTAGGGTGCCTCTAAGCTATAGGCACATTGTAACCTGCGATCAGGCCTATAAATAAATAAATAGGCCTGATACAAATCTTAACAAAAGTCCATGTTTTTACAACCGTATTTCGGTTCTGATTGGTTTACGAGACAAAAGATTTTTTAATCTGTCTTTTGATTGGTTGGTGCTAATTACATTATATATTGTCGTTGATATATTTATAGTGATCACAACTATAAGGGAGCATTCATTTTTTAGCTGGGGGGGTGGGCTGGAGGAACTGAAGTCTAATTCCATGCGAAAACTTGGAACCCTCAAGACAAAAGTTGATAAAAAATTATGACCCCCTATTTTTTTTACTGAAAATTTTTTGACCCCTCATCCTAACTATTAATCCACATGGTGTTGTTTCCATAGCGTTTCAGAGCCGTAGGAAGCTCTTTTTGTTTGGGGGGGGGGCTGAAAGCGAGGGCCGAAGGCCCGAGGAAATTTTTAAATCTAGAGTCTCTGAAATGCCATTTCCTGGCCTTTGGGGGAAGATTTGACAGAATTCTGATGGTCAGAAAACAGCATTTTAGTATGTCAAAATTGACAATTTGGTAGTACTAAATGGGCGAAGGCATATTAATTTTACTATATGTTGGATAACTAGGATAAGTTGCAGGAAACTGTGGGTACTATCTTCATTCTTTGCAGTTTGTCATGGATAATGTAGCCGCTTAAAATTAATAAAGCTTAAAATTGATCAAGATCTGCATGATTTTGAAGTCATGCAGACCTTGAAATCATGCATGATTTTGAAATCATGCTACGGTCCTGCGTTTTCTTTCATTGATGTTTTCACGCAAAAACGGATAAAAACGAGGTCAATTGACAAACGTCATGGAAATGTTTTCCTATGAACTGTGTGAACAGAGCGTCAAATGAATTTTGCTTCATTGTTATAGATGACGAGATAGTTGATAGATTCTAGACCTTTTTACCATTCTTGATCCAAATATTTCCAAATTCAATAAAATCATATTGGTGATTTTTTCACTGATTATTTTTATGACCCCCTCCATTTATAACAAAACTATAAAAAGACCCACCCCTTTGAAGCATGTCAAAATTGGCTGACCCACCCCCAAATTCCTTCGGCCCACCCCCCCAGCTAAAAAATGAATGCTCCCTAATTAGATTGTTGTTGTCGTTGTGTGGAATTTAAAATTCTCCTGCGACATTTTGATTGGATAGTAAATATAAACTTTGCTATGGGTGGAAAGCGATCAGATTAAGGATTGTGTCAGGCTATTATTTGTAAAATAGAGCCTGATCGCAGGTTAGGCACATTGCCACTTAAAAGCATAAGGTTGTTTACACATTGCTATCTGCAGGTATGGTTTCAGCCTTGTCTGCATGATCGAATGTTAATGATGCGATGTCATCAGATGATATTTTTTTAAAAATATCATTACAGGGTGTCTAAGTGAAATCTGCCAAACAAATTGCAATGTATAAACTACATTTTGCTCTATCACTTGATCAGATTACATCAGACAAATAGGAAAGAAAATGATGGGGCTGATATTACGTCAGATGAATTGGAAATTTTGTAGTGAAATACAAAAAGCTGTCCTTGCATGCAAGGATATTCTTTTGGCATTCTTTGCTTAACCTTTGGTGGCAATGTGCCCAGAGAAGCCCTACTTTTTTATTTTACTCTGTCTAACACCAGACGATTTTACTTGCCAAGGGGAGAGTGCTATCACTCATTGGGCCAGTTAATGACCTTAATCTAAGTCTGCTCCAAAGTCATTGGATATCCTTTTCATTTTTCCTTTAAATCTAAAAACAAACCCTGTGGTTCCGGTTTCATATCATGAAAAAATTAGGGTCGGTAGATCGGAAATAAATTTTTTTTTGAATATTTTTTTCATGGTTTTGGTGTTTTTTTTGCTGGGCGATTTGCAGTAGAGTCCCGACATCAATATTAACTAGAGTTGCGTATTTCCTATGGACGAATTTAGGCAATTTGGTTCAATAATTAGGGTGACAACAAACGCCATTTTGGCACGCTGTATGAGCAGCCCGCAACCACCTGGAGAAAATAGGGTCGCACAGTCAATCGCGTTGAAAAAATAATAGGGTTGGCAGAAAAAAATAGGGTTGTTCGGGAACCGGAACCACAGGTATTTTTTTTTACGCCTTAATCTAAAAACAAACATCCTATTGAATTAGTTTGCCAGATTGCCCAGTTTATGCGGATTGGAAATGTAACAGATTGCTTTTTCTGAGACATTTTTTATAACCGAATAATTTTACACTGGTTCAGTGGCCCTGAATCTCATATACAAGTCACTTCCCCTCCAATGCAACACATTGCTTTGATAATAACTTTATATAAATTGCTTTTTTTAGCAAAAAGATATATAGAATTCAACGAAGAGCCTTCAAATCTGGTTGTAATGAGAAATAAACCTGCTACACTTCGATGTAACATCACAGCAAAAAATAATCTCATAATATCATGGCATAAAGATGGCATAAAATTAGATCTTACAAATGATACCCGAAGGACTATTCTGTCGCATGGGTCATTATATTTTAAGACAATTATTAGGCAAAAGAAGCTGTCTCCCGATGCGGGTGTTTATAGGTGTGTGGGTGAAACCAAAGTTAATGGAAGATCTTTCAAAATACTAAGTCGGAAAGCAAGATTAACTGTCACAGGTAAGTTATTTGCTGGTTGCATGCTTTGCTAAACAATATACCTGTAAACAGGACATGATGGAGGCCAGGAGAAGAGGTTGTATAAGTATATATAAAGTATAGAAAAGGTTGATAGGGGGGGGGGGGGTGAATATGTTTTCGGATAGTCGAATTTCACAGAAAAAATTGTTCGGATCTGGCGAATATTTTACACAGATTTGCGGATCTTATTAATACAGCGGATTGCGGATTTATCTAATATTTTGGCTCGGATTGTGGATTTAGCCTCCAATTTAGTTCGGATCCTGGATTGTGACTTCATAGTAGAGCTTTTAGCGGATTCAAATTTAGACAAGACCATTGTCGGATTGCGGATTTTGCTTCAAATTTGGGCGGATTTGTATACCCCTATTCACCCTCCCCCCCGATAAACAGACGCATTGAAGAAATAAATAAGATGTATTCAATACAGGAAAAAATTTGTGGCGCAACTTTCAATATTAATCAACATTTACTGCAAGGAAATAAAACTGTTCCATCTACCCAACCTGGTTTGTTAATTAATCACCAGTACATGATATTAATTTTTCATCAATTTTTGCAGGCATGTCAAAATCTTTTGTTGTCACACCGCAAAACTTGACAGTAAGCGAAGGTGAGACTGCGTTGTTCGAGTGCAAAATCAAGCGAAGTCGTCCAGAGGCGAAGATTAAGTGGAGTAAAGAGGGAAAGAACACGGATCTAACGCTAAATTTTAGATTTGTCGTCTTTCCTTCTGGAACACTGGAGATTCTCAGTGTAATGCAGAGTGATGCAGGGAGTTACATATGTAAAGCAACTAACGAGGAAATGAGAAGAAGTGCGACAGCTAAGGCTACACTTACTATCACTTCAGGTAATTACATCTAGGTTACATATGCGATTTTTTCTTGCAGGGCAACGCAAGTATGGTTCAAATTTAACCCATTAAGCCCCAAATTAGTGGTCTTCCCTTGATGATTGAGTAAAATCATCTGGCGTTAGACAAAGTAAATAATAAAGTAGGGCACAATATAAATTTCAATGGGTTAACTAGACACATGGGCATATAGGCCAGTTAACCCATTAATTAAGCACCAGCGCTCTCCCCCTGACGAGTAAAATTGTCTGGTGTTACACAGAGTAAAATAATAAAGTAGGGTGCATCAGGGTGCAATGCGACTCAATGGGTTATAATCGTGGAAACTGCAATGATTTTCTCATCTGGTAAGTCAAGTGCAAAACCAGAGCTTTCCAAATCAAGACTAAATTCACGATTTCATGACAAAATTTAGCACTCTTAATTTTAGACAGAAGTTTAAAAGTTTGATCACTGTGAAATCGATAGAAACAAAAATATTATAAGACTGTAATATATGTTTAAAAGTTAAAAGTGAATAAAATTGGAATGTATGATGCACACACGATTTCTTGGCAAAATTATAATAAATTTTGAAATCTACAATTCCACTTTTGTATATAATATTATATAGTAGAAATAAATGTTCGACCCTGGGAGTTTAGCACCCTCCAGAACAACTGGTATGTCATCTCATCCATTTACACCCCGTTTAGCATCAACCACCCCAAAGCCAAACAAGTTCTTAGTGAAACCAAGCAATGTGATTGTATTACATAATGAGGATGCAATTCTCGAATGTATTATTACTGGCTACCCAAAACCCCAAGTTGAATGGTATAAGGATGGGACAAAGATCACGTTAACACAGAATGGACAATATTCCAAATATGGTGCTAGCAGTTTAAATGTGTCCGGAGCACAAGCTGCTGATAGCGGCAAGTATGAATGCGTGATGGGGACAGACAAGGCAGAAGCAAGTCTCCAGGTTCTTGGTACGAATTTTCAATTATTTATGTTTTTTATCATCTGCATGTACAGGTACCTCTGATAAGAGATTCCCCTCTACTAGAACTGAAACGTTTTTAATTCCAACATCATTCAATTACCAACACCTCTTTAATACACCTCTCATATACAGCTACAGTACCACTAGAATACAGACATCTTTCTAATACAAACACCTCTCTAATACAGACATCTCTCTAATACAGGCATCTATCTAATACAGACATCTCTCTAATACAGACATTTCTCTAATACAGACATTTCTCTAATACAGACACCTCTCTAATACAAACATCTCTCTAATACAAACATCTCTCTAATACAGACATCTCTCTAATACAAACATCTCTCTAATACAGACATCTCTCTAATACAAACATCTCTCTAATACAAACATCTCTCTAATACAGACATCTCTCTAATACAAACATCTCTCTAATACACTAAATACAGACATCTCTCTAATACAGACATCTCTCTAATACAAACATCTCTCTAATACAAACATCTCTCTAATACAGACATCTCTCTAATACAAACATCTCTATAATACAAACATCTCTCTAATACAAACATCTCTCTAATACAGACACCTCTCTAATACAGACATCTCTCTAATACAAACATGCTTTGAAATATTTTCTTAATAATAATAATAATAATAATAGCTTTAATTTGAGCAAATCGTAGTCAAAGACTAAATTAAATTTACCCATTACAATGTTGCATTAGAAAGGTAAAAGGGGAAACAACTACAAACATCAAAACTAAGAATACTGTATAGTATATACTGAATTATTTACACTAAATTCTAAAAAGTCATCATTCTAAAAATATGTAGGGCTATACATTCCCTATCTAATACAGACATCTCTCTAATACAGACATCTCTCTAATACAGACATCTCCCTAATAGAGACATCTCTCTAATAGAGATATTTCTCTAATACAGACATCTCTCTAATTACAGACATCTCTCTAATAGAGACATCTCTCTAATTCAGACATTTCTCTAATACAGACATCTCTCTAATACAGACATCTCTCTAATACAGAATGGAATCACTCATTGTTTGCAGACCTGCAACAACTTGTGCTTTTTACGTGCATACTGGTACCTTCTTAATACGGCCATATTTAGAGCTGTAATTCAACAGCACTAAGACCACAGAGCAGATTTGATTATCTCCAATACTATAACATCTTTGCTTCATTATTTTAGTTCCTCCACAATTTAAAGTTTTACCCACAAACATCGAGACAGTGGAAGGCAAAAACATTGTTTTCCCATGTGAGGCAACAGGCTCCCCAAAGCCTAAAATTAGTTGGTATAAAAATGGCGATATGATCGATGCAGTTCAGTTTGAACATATCGAAGTGAACGATGATGGAATCACTATTATGGAAGTATTAGAAAGTGATGAAGGAATATATCAATGTTTTGCAAAGAACGATGGCGGGGAAATAGAAGCATCTGCACAACTCAATATAAAGGGTAAGAGCATACATGTCAGGGGTTGGAAAAATAAGCGAGTACTGCTCGCAGGAATGTTTTAAAACAGCTGCAGGAAATTTGTTTGAATTATAGCTGTGTGGTTAACCGAAAAATTCGGTTCTTCCGGTACTTTTTTCAGGACCGAAAAAATTATACGCAAAAGAACCGGTAGTTTCGGTTTTAATTTCCCGTTTAACGCCCGCCAAACGCCCACCTGATTGCAGGTTGAAATGTTTGGAAAATAACAAGATTGTGTCCTTTGTGCACAATAAAGTGCTCAAATAGTTGATATTTTAGTTGTGATAGTTATTGTTGTGAACTTGCTTTAAATTTTTTTAAAAACTAAGAAATATTTCATCTTCACAAATAAATTCCAATAGACCTTTCCCCTTATGAGTGAAATTTTGATCTAGATATGCCTGGGCAACAATTTCATCACAGCTTGAAAGAGCATCATAAAATTAGTAATATTCCGAAGTTTCGTTGCGAAATGTTGTAAAATGCGGATAATATAGCCTTGCGAATTTTGCCGTTTTTCAGTCATTTTGCATTACAATCTAACAGTTTGCATCAGTTTGATCATCTGATTATCAATTTCCCGTTTGTAATACAAAATGACTGAAAAACGGCAAACTTCGCAAGGCTATATATTATCCGCATTTTACAACATTTGAATACATTTCGCAACGAAACTTCGGTATATTACTAATTTTGTGATGCTCTTTCAAGCTGTGATGAAATTTTTGTCCAGACTTGTCTAGATCAAAATTTCACTCAAAAGGGGAAAGGTCTATTGTTCTTTTAAAATATTCAGAGATTTATAAAAACTTACAAAGGCATAAATTCATCTATTTAGTAAAAATGCTCGAAACATACATAAATGAGTTCATACATTTGTACTGTTTTTTTTTAAATAACCGAAACCGAACCGAACCGAGTTTTTTTTTGTTAAAAAAAAAACCGAAACCGGAACCGAGATAAAATTTTTGGAACCGCACAGCTCTAGTTTGAATGAACATTTGCTGTTGAAAATTTGAAGGAAACCTTAACACCCATGTCCCACTATGGGCACAACAACATATGGTTGACAGACATTATTCCTTGAATTTAAAACCATGGTCAGCTAGAACACTTCATGTTTATGCACATGCAAATTTAGCACAAAAATACTCCGTTGGTTTGCAGGAAATTTGTGTCTTCAGGGTGTGCTCCCAGGAAGAAAATTATTTTTTCCTGCCCTGATGCATGCATAGAAATTCTACAGTTCATGTGTGTTTTACGAAGCACCATGCAACAAATGGCTAGTTGTCAACATTTTTTCTGCTTGATGCTAAGTCTATCACTCAGGTTCTTGTGGTTGGAGCTCGACAACTGACCTCTGTAGCTCAGTTGGTTAGAGCGCTGCACTGGAATCGCAGGGCCGATTCGGTTAGGTCTAAAAATTGTATGTAATTGTATTGAAATCCGACTATGAGGACTAGATTTCAAGTCCGCCCGTTTTGATAAAGTCCGAGGCGGAGCTTGTCCGAACTGGGGGATTTGAAATCTATTAGAGATTTTTATATCTTGCTTAGTTTGCAAAATATTTGACTGAAAAAAGTGAGCTGTTCGCCATCTTGGATTATTGAGGATATGCATGTTACGTCAAGAGAGGGGTCACGCTAATTTTTTATCTTGAGAGTAAGCGATCAATATGGGTCCAAAACTTCGTTTCTGGTTACTGTCTGAAATTTAGAAATGATTAAAAACATTTCAAACGATTTTGGAATGTTACTCGGTCATATATGGTTAACCCAACTCCTGACGTCATCAAAACCATAGTTAATGAGGTGAAGAATTAGTCCAAGATGGCGGGCAGCTCATTAATTTCTGTCTAAATATTTCGAGAACTAAGCAAAATATGACAAATCGGTAATAGAGTTTAAAGATGATGTCCACTCCTGTGGACATGCGCGAACTTTGTTTACGTTTTGAACTGCTATAGTTGTAAAATATGATATACTAACTGAATATCTAACACTTTTCTGGTTCGCTATACTTGTTAAATGAATATAAACTGTACGTTTCAATTAAAAAAAAGTTCGAAAGATGCAAAATTTGGGCAATGTTTATATCTGGGATCCCCTTTGTTATGAGCAGAACTGATGCGCAGAACGCAGTGGACATCATCTTTAATATATAATTTTAAGAGTTCTCTTGAATGAGGCAAACTAATTTTTTATTGCCAATCTCCTTTAAACGAGTAAATCATTACATTTATAGGTCCGACAACTACTCCGCCTACGACTGTAGCGACAACAACATTAACAACAATGCAAGTAACAACACGTGCGCCATCCATCAAGATGCTTGCTCCCAGTGCGCCGAAGAATGTAAAAGCCGCAGCAGAAAATACAACCGCGATTCGTGTATTTTGGCAAGAACCTGATCAACCTCACGGCAAGATCAAGAAATACACTGTTGTTACTCATAAAGTTCCCGATGGAGGTAGGTTTGAGCTGACAGGGTAAAGGTAATAAAGTAGGACGCAATGCAAATGAATGAATTAAGGCTGATTTCCACTGTTGCGTTTTTCGTACGCACGTACACGCACATAAAACTTTGAATCCTTCTATTTTTTAAGTATTTTACAAATAAGTTAACAAATGCATACTAAAACTTGCGGAACACTAAATTCTGTTGCTTTATTTATTTGGTTATTTCATAAGTAACATTTAAACGGATTTAAAATTTTACGTGCGTATACGTACGTATGAAAAACGCAACATGTTGGTGTCATTCCTCGTAATGCCTTAATGGTGGGGTGGATAAGCGCACTATTTTTCAATTATTGTGCAGTTGGTGAAGAAAGCACCGTATTGAAATAACGCTGATAGCTAAAAATTTAGAATTTCTGATATTTGAATATAAATTTCTATTAGGGACCGGTCATAAAGTAACTGCTAGGGTGGGCTGGAGTGATTTGGGATGGGCCATGGAAAATCTTTGGGCAGTTTCGATGGGCCGCCAATCTTTTTGTATGTCCACGGTTGGGCCACGAAACAAAAAACCTATGCATGTCTACTTCAAAAAAAAAATATACTAATAATAAAAGTAAACAAAACTATCCAAATTATCAAATGCAAATGATGCTATTGAAGCCAGTACTTTGTAAATACAACAAGAAGAAGTGATCGAATCACAGCAAATACAACCAACTGGAGAGCAGCTCAGTATCAATGTGTTGGTCAAGCTTGGTGGAATTATGTATGTCAATACAGTGCCATGTATATTTACAATGTTCATACCTGCAAGTTTTTTATTATTATAAAAGTGTATTTTCCCAATTTAGATTGGGTGGGTCACGAAATTTTTTTTGTAAGATTAGATGGGCTTTGAAATTTTTATCTACATCCTAAGATGGGTCACCAAACTTATTGGCAAAATGTGTGATTTACCTCCAGCCCACCCGAGCAGTTACTTTATGACCAGTCCCTTACTGATAGAAATTTTAAAATTCCAAGGTAGCTCACAGAAAAAATAAATTGTATGGTTGAAACGTACACAAAAACTGTCTTTAGAACATTAAAGCAGTTTTTTGATTTGCCAAGTCGTTTTAAGTTAATCAGTTTCGAAATCGCGCAAAATAGATAAAAAGTAGGTGCAAAGACTGGCACTAGCTTCAAATTGCCTTTTTTAACAGGTTGCAGCTCAGGAAATTTTTGGAAAATCAAAAAACTGCTTTGATCAAAATTAATATTCTATAGACCAGTTTTTTGTGTACGTTTCAACCATACAACTTATTTTTCTGTGAGCTACCTTGGAATTTTAGAATTTCTATCAATAATAGAAATTTATAATAAAATGTCAGAAATTCCAAATTTTTAGCTATCAGCGTTAATTTCACAGATATCTGATATTCATACTTGTGTCAAAGTCTACACATCCTGTCAATATGGTGCTTTCTTCACAAAATGCACGATACCTTAAACACTTATCCGCCCCACCTTGATGGTCTTTTTTCATTGCAGGAAATCCAGAATTCAAATCCATGCCAGAGACGCAAGACACTCAATTAGTTGTGTCCAACCTAGAACCGGGGACGTTGTATCAATTTGTTGTATATGCTTCGAATGAATACAAGAAGGGTGCGCTGAGCAAGAGTGTAGGAGAATATACAGCGAAAAGAAAAACCCCGGCACTTGAACCACCTCGTGATGTTCAAGTCACTGCTATAAGCTCTATGGCATTGAAGATATCATGGAAGCCACCGTTGAATGCGTAAGTAAAATACACTCGCCAGTATTTTTTATGAGAGTTGGCAGCCAGAACTTTCCGCATCGCTATGCGTTTTGAACCTTTCTAAGTCGGTCTATGACGAAAAAAAGTTTTCGATCAGTTCGAAATTTTCGAAGTCAAAATTTGGTCGAAATTTTTTAACTCAAAATTTGGTCGGAATTTTCTAACTCAAGAATCCGGGTAACGAGTGAGCGTAGTAGAATCTATAGTAAAATCCGGTAAGGATTCATCTGCATACGGCTGGTTAGTTTATATGTCAAAAAGTGCTTTAAGTGTCCCTTAAGCCAAACCGTTCTGCGTCACTACGCGTTTTGGTCTAATTGGGTCTAATTTCTAAATTCTAATTGGGTCTATGACGATCACATTCTTTCTATCAGATCGATGGAAAGTTGTTATGGAAGACATTTGAAGCTCCAACTATGGCCGCTTTCCATTAACACGGCCAGACCGGTCAGAACGCTCAAATTGTTGAATGGAACACAAAACGTTTGGGCTTCGGCCCTATCTGCCCGGAAAATTTAGATAAAATTATAATGAGGTCCATTTTCGCTAGATATTTGAGAAACATAGACCAGATCTTTTCATTGATACAGAGACAAAAATTCGGGTCTGGCCGGTCAGGCCATTGAATGGAAAGCGCCCTATGTTCCAACTTTTAAAACATTTCTAGGAGAGAATGCCCCCGGACCCCTGCGGTAATGTACCCCCTCTGGAAAACCTCCACCCCCTCTAACAAATCAAGCCATATCTGCCCATGGCACAACTCATTAACCTGCTCAAGTCAAAGGCTTTCTATGGGCGCCTCTGCAGCTTTTGTTGGAGCATTGACTGACTCTTTTCACATAACTATCATGAGTCTGAAGCGAGAATCGAACCCACAATCTCAGAGTTGAGAGGCGCTTGTCATTCCAAAACTCGTTTGGGCACCGCAGTAACATTCACCTCTGCCCGTTTTCATGTTTTTCTAAATGTAATCCATATTTTTTCAGCTTGTTAGTGATAAAGAACTACTCCATCGAGTATCGTGATATTGATCGAAATACGCCGTGGCGTATTGAGTCATCGCTGAGGCATGGCGTAGTTCTTCTTAAACTTCGTCCTTACACCAAGTATTCAGTGAAAGTCACTGCGCACACTGATGGTGGGCCTGGGCAAACGTCATCTGTATTCTCTGCCAGAACTAAAAGCGGAAGTAAGTTTCGATTTCAAATACTCTCCGGAATGTAAGAGATACACGCTTAAAAATATCTCATCTTGTAGGAAGTCTGCCAACAAGCCGTCAACTAGTTGTGCTCGCACTGCTTGTCCCAAATTGTCAACAAGTTTGGAATAAGCTGTTAACAACTTGTAACAACCTTGTTGACATTATTAGACTTGTTGCAAGGTTGTTCCAACAAGTCCAATACAGTAATGATATAACAATATCGTCAACCTTCTAATATTCTTGTTAAATCATGACTGTATCAGACTTGTTAGAAACACCTTGTAACAATTGATAATGCCATCAAGCTTGTGACAAGTTGTTAACAGCTTGTTCCAAACCTATTACAACAACTAGGAACAAGCAATGCGAACACAACTTGTCGACAGCTCGCAACAAGTTGTTCCAACAAGTCTGATATCGTCTGCACGTAACAAGTTGTTAAAAAGTTGATGACAACAAGCTCGTACAACCTTGTTACGAACAGCCTGTATTAGTCTTGTTGGAACAACTTGTAGCAAGTCTGTTACCGTCATCAACCTTGTAAAAAGATGATAACAACTTGTTCCAGACTTGTCAACAACTGGGAACAAGCAGTGCGAACACATCCTGATATCGGCTTGACAGCAACCTTGTTACAACTTTTCTTTTGTTTTTTTTTTGTTACAACTTGTTTGCAGATTTTGTTACAACTCGTGCGTTTTTACGTGTCATTGGTATCAGTTGGATATAAACTTACTTGATCTCCATATATCATCTACAATGGATTTCAACAAGTCTAGACAAAATACCATCATAGCATGAAAGAGTATCACAAAATTAGTAATATTCCAAAGTTTCGTTGCGAAATGTTGTAAAATGCGGATAAAATAGCCTTGCGAAATTTGCAATTTTCAGTCATTTTGATTACAAATGGGAAATGGTTACCACTTTTCCAAAATTTTGATCTTAACTAGCCTAAACAAAAATTTCATCACAGCTTGAAAGAGCATCACAAAATTAGTAAAATTAGTAAAGTTTCGTTGCAAAATGTTGTAAAATGCGGATAATATAGCCTTGCGAAGTTTATAATTTTCAGTCATTTTGTAAAACGCACAGAAGTGGTAACCATTTCCCGTTTGTAATCTAAAATGACTGAAAATTGAAAACTTCGCAAGGCTACATTATCCGCATTTTACAACATTTTGCAACGAAACTTTGAAATATTACTAATTTTGTGATGCTCTTTCAAGCTGTGATGAAATTTTTGTCTAGACTTGTTGAGTTCAAAATTTTGGTTAATTGGGGAATGGTCCATTGAGAGAACATTTTCCGTGTTTTTCTACAGATAAAAATAAACACTCTTCTTAACCAATCATCTCTCGCGTACTAGAAATGTTATATTATAATACTGTTTGTGTATTTTAGAACCCAATGGACCACCGGAGGATATAAAATTAGTTGCTACTAATGATATTCTAGTGGCCAAGTGGAGCCCGCCTTCAGATCCTAACGGCAATATCACTGGATATGAAATACAATTGAAGAATGAAAATTCTGGAAATGTTTCCAATTTCACAACTAAGGTAGGTTGAGGATACAATGACACATCCTCCTCACGAAACATTAGGGCCATTTATACGGAACAAAATAAGACGCGACGTACATAAGACGCGACTTAAATAAGTGGAGTTATCGCATAAATGGTTCTCTACGGCTTTGGTCTTATTTATTTGCTATAGCTATAATGTTGTTTTGGTTGTTTTTGTTTTAATATGCAAGGCATTAAATTTTACGTTGTTTCAAGTTTCTGGCATGTGTAGTTAGACTTTTTGTCCAAAATTTCTTATTTAAGACGCGACTTAAATAAGAACAGCTAAAAGACCTGTTCTTATGTAAGACGCGTCTTATCCAAGACACGTCTTACATAAGAATTTTGTATCTTTTATACGACAAACTCGCGTCTTACCTAAGTCGCGTCTTATGTAAGTCGCGTCTTATTTTGTTCCGTATAAATGGCCCTATTGTTTCATCGCCATATTTTTCGAAGATGGAAAAACCAAGAGCAAATGTTTTTTCTTGGTGGGCAAACCAGGGAACATTGTTTCCTAGCCATGTTTCTCGAAGGTGGACAAACCATGAAGCATTGTTTCCTAGCCATGTTTCCCAAAGGTCGACGAACAAAAAACATTGTTTCCTAGCTATGTTTCCCAAAGGTGAACAAACCAGGGAACATTGTTTCCTAGCCATGTTTCCTGAAGGTGGACAAACCAGGGAACATTGTTTCCTGGCCATGGTTCCCGAAGGTGGGCAAACCAAAAAACATTGTTTCCTAGCCATGTTTGCTGAAGGTACAGCAGGCAAACCAGGAGACGTTGTTTGCCCACGTTATGTTTCTGAATTTGGTGGGAAACATTCTAGAAGCATGAAGCGTATCATTAAGAAACGTATATTTCTATCAATTTCAGAAAAACAATAAGGTTTTTATGAATGTTGAAAAATCTGCAACTTACGCGCTGAGAGTAGCGGCAGTAACAGAAGCAGGCCGGGGAGACTTCAGTCAGTGGATGAGAAAAGATATGCCTGCCCCACCAATAACAGGTAATGTGTATTTATTTGAACCTGGCTATAACCGAGAAATTCGTTTAAGTCATTTGAATCTCCTTACTAATGCCTACAATGCGTCATATAAAATTCACATGTATGGGGGATGAGTCAGTCCCGAAACGTAAGGGAGCTTCTGGGGTGCAATCTCCATAAGATTAGGAGAATCTAGCGATTTGCAAAGCGCTCTGGACTCAGTACAAAGTTGGGCTGTGGAAAATAAAATGGAACTGAATGCCAAAAAGACAAAGGATATGTGGATTAACTTCACCGAAGCACCACCCCCTCTACCACTGCATATAGGAGATGCTATCATAGAAAGAGTCGATAATTTTAAACTCTTGGGAATCTGGTTTCAAAAGGATCTGAAATGGAATAAACATGTCGAGGAGACCACCCGAAAAGCAGCTAAAAACCTGTACTGCCTACGAGAATGTAGAAGAGCGAATCTACCAGTCGAAGTGGGTCTCACCACTTATTTAACTAAAATCAGGCCTATCCTTGAATATTGTTCTCCAGTGTGGGGTGGTCTGCCACGATATCTAAAGGACGAATTGGAACGTGTGCAAAGGAGGAGTCTACGAGTTATTAGCCTCCCGCATGGTTACCTGCCATGCCAACTCTCGAAGAGAGAAGAATTGAAGCCATATCGAGGGAACTCGTTAACATCTTAGGTGATCCAAGTCATATCTTTTATCAACGAACTATGGAACATAATAAACATAACTATAATCTTAGGCGTAGAGACGGTATATTTAAATACGCACCTTTCTCAGGCACTGAACGACACAGAAATAGTTTTGTCCCACGAGCAATGAGACAGGGGTTGCACTAAAACCAAACTTGGTTTTTATTAACTTTTTAAATAATTTCCTAGACTTCTAAATTTTTTACTCCAAATTGTATATATATAAATTTTAGATAGTTTGTAAATATTATCGCATGCTTAGTTATGCTCTTCTCTTTTAATATACATATTTGTAAATCCATTGTATTTTTAAACTAAAGATGGATCAATAAAATCATCATCATCATCTTAGAGCAAGCGGTTTGATTCTCGGGCTCATGATACGACCAAGTTGTGGGTTTTCTCCCACAGGGAATGTTGACAGGGTGGGTTGGGACAAGCCCCTAACTGACCCTTCCACCGTAGTTGTGTTCCGTGATCAGATATGAGTCGTAAGGTGGCTGCCATAGGCGCCTTTAGTAAGCCTTCGACTCAATGTCCTTCGCATTTTAGCTTAAGCTGTCGTCTGCAAGTAACACAAGTAGTACACCTCGATTTACTAAGATCCCATCTTGTATTAGGATCCCGGTCAAATCGGGTATGAAATTTTCCACATGAGCACAGGGATGGATCCAGCATGATCTGGGGGGGGCGGTGCTCTGCCAGCTCTGGTGCCGAGTTGTGTCGGTCATGTGTGCCGCCCGCCCATCAACTTGCTTCACTACTGCAAAGTCTTGAATTGTAATTGTTGTTCACAGTTCGCTTATCATCATGTTATTACTCAAATTACTGTATCTCATTTTGTCTCTAATAATTTTTTGCTTTATCATGAAAAATAGCACACCCCCTGCACCCCCTCTGGTCAGGGCTAGGGGGGTGCACACCCCCCTCCCCCGCACCCTCCCCAGTAAATCCATCCCTGCATGAGCACCACATTCCACCTGTCCATTTTGATCTATACTGGTGTCAGGCAGCATAGCTGTAAAGTGTAAATAAGAAAATTATATAAACAGTACTATTACTATCGAATTACAACGGTCAGTTTGTTCAGACACGAAAAGTATTTTGAAGGCTCCTTGTTTAGCATTTCTTAAAGGTCCGTTTATTTTTGCTTCCATAATGAACAAGTGGACAAGTTAGGTTAGTTGTTAGCTCTAGCATATTAGGGCTATTTATACGAGACAAAATAAGTCGCGTCTTATATAAGACGCGTCTTATATAAGGCTGAATTATCGCATAAATGGTTCTCTACGGATTTATTCTTATTTACTTGCTATAGCCATAATGTTGTTTCGGTTGTTTTTGTTTGAATATGCAAGGCTAATAATTTTACGTTGTTTCAAGTTTCGGGCATGTGTAGTTAGAAGTTTTGTTTAAAATTTCTTATTTAAGACGCGACTTAAATAAGAACAGCTAAAAATCCTGTTCTTATGTAAGACGCGTCTTATCCAAGACGCGTCTTACATAAGAATTTTGTACCTTTTATACGACAAACTCGTGTCTTATTTAAGTCGCGTCTTATGTAAGTCGCGTCTTATTATGTCCCGTATAAATGGCCCTATTGTTTAAAGGTGTAAGTAACCTTTCGTGTTTAGCTCCACATGCTTTAATGTTTCTGGTGCATGATTTTACCATCAGTTAGGCTCAGGCTTTTAGCCAGAAGGGCGTCCTGGGACGCCCCTAGAACGAAAAATGGACACCTTTGGACGCCCAAATTCTGGGGGGAAAGGGAAATTATTTTCAAATGTTTCCCTAAGTATATTAATATATCTGAAACGAAATAGCTTCAATTCTCATTATTATTATACATTTTAAATTTTGATCAATTTGAAGGTGTGCCTGGCTGAATGAAAATGTCGTAGTTAAGTAAATAAGCATAGCGGCACAAACTCTCAAAGCCATGTGTGTTTGAAAAATTTCGAACGAGCTTGTAACAGATACTGACATAAAGTAACGTAAACTTCAAAGGTTTTCCGGACGTTTTCTCAACCCCTACTGTAGATGTATCGTTATATCAAAATTGGACACCCTCTTTTAGAACCCTGGCTAAAAGCCTGGTTAGGCTGCGATTTCTAATTTTCTAATGCGAACAAGTAGATGAGTTACGAATGTTCTGCGTAAAAGTAATTCATTTTCTGTGTTCATTCATCTTTAACAGAGGACGTAGTTCCGGGAAAACCGACCAACTTGCGTACTCATGTTGTTCTGGGTATGGTACGGGTCAGTTGGGACCCTCCGAAAGAAAGTCATATCATTGTACGGCAGTATGTTCTCAGTTATGGCAAGATGACACCAGACGACACGTTCAAAAGGTTACCAAACACTACGACTTCTTATCTTCTCCAAAAGTTACGTAAGTACATTGTTTGGATACCGTTTGTTAGCCTTACCAATGGATCTCAGCACTTTATGAAAATGCGCGGCGCCATGTTTGTTTTGTTTTGAAGCAATCTGTGACCGTTAGGGGCCATTCACAAAGGATGTCCGAGCCGAGGGGGGGGAGGGGGGTTTGGAAAATCAGGACAAACTCGGACATAGGGGGGGAGGGGGGGTTTTTAGCAATCCGGATGTCCGAAATTTAAAAAAATTCAAAAATAAATTTCTTTTTCCCTCTATTTTGAGCAGTCCTTCCCATTGTGAAATTGGCATTTTGACTATGCGGTTAACACTAGATTTTGTTTTAATTAGTAATTTATATGTTTTTGTGTTCACATTTACAGTTATAACAAAGTTCTAAAAGTAAAAGTTTTACTCTTGATATATACAAGATTGCGTGAGTTTTTACGAGGCATGGCGGATGTCCGGGGGGAGGGGGTTCAGTAATTCGGACAATGCCGGACAAGGGGGGGAGGGGGGGTCTGAAAATCCATCATTTGGCCGGACATCCTTTGTGAATGGCCCCTTACTTCTTTAATTAATTAAACTAAATTTCTTGAAACTGATTGGTTGATTTAATCATCACAATGTTTTTCCACCAATCAGATCAGTTTGTTACAGATTTTTGCACTGTGATTACAGAAAATTGCACTGTGATTACAAAAAATTGCACTGTGATTACAGAAAATTGCACTGTGATATATTACAGAAAATTGCACTGCTGTTTGCGATTAACTGCACTGAAATCAACCAATCACAGTCGAGTAATATCTTTATGTATATTATTACAACAGAAACACCTTGAAATATATTTCTACAGAATGTTTATTACACTTCTCAAGCAAAAACAACAGAGAGATCTATATTTTCTTGTTTTCAAATTAAGGATAATTCTTCCAAGATTTTCCCAAATTTTTCTCCATGTCTCAAGAAAAATTCTTAACTTTTCTTGTTTTAAGAAAAATTTTCTTATGATGTGCAGGTATTTCTTACTTTAGAGACGAATTTCTTATTTTAAGAAAAGCAATTGCTGTGTATATTTTTTATTTTAAGAATATTGTGAAAAGAAAATTTTCTTGATTTCCTAAACTAATTCGTGAATTTGGACAAAAAATGCTGGACTTAGACAACCTTTTATGGTTATATAGGTTTGGAAATCCATATTGAACCATAGAACCCCATTACTTAACTTTGTATAGAATAAAATTTTGAAATTATCTTGTTTTGAAGAAAATTAAAAAAAAAAATTCTTATTTTAAGAAACAGCTTAATTATTCTCATTGTAGGAAACAGCTTTATATATTACTTATTTTAAGAAAATGGTTTCTTGTTTTAAGAAATTTTTCTCAAAATAAGAAAATTGTATTTTCTTAACTTAAGAAAATGAAAGAAAATGATTTTTCTGTGTTGGTCAATCAAGATTAGTGAGTTTGGGAACTTACAACAGAAATCGGCAGAAAACAAAGTTGCTTCTTGAAAGAACTTATCTTTATTCTGAACAGCCCATACGTGATATATAGAACAGTCCATATAAACCGTATGTTCTGAGTAATCATTTCATATTCAGCGTTTAGTGCGGGCGGGAGAAGAGAGGGCGTCTGAAAAAAATCGCCGGTACAAAAAAGGTACACGCACAATGCAAACGGCCTACAAATATATCTAAATTCAAATTATTTTAAACCCTGCGATACTTTACTATTCTACAGATTGTTTCATTTCATTTGCGTATCATATACTATAGTATCCCCAAATAAAGATATATTTCCACCATTTTTCAGAATCTGGCACAATCTACATTATTCGTGTTCGGGCGAAAAACGCCAAAGGACAAGGATTAGAGGCTTTGGAACGTATTACAATTCCGCCTTTAAGTAAGTATAAACTATAAAGGCCCATTACCACTCAGGAAAATTTTCCGCAGAAATAAAATTTTGTAAAATGTCATTGGCCGACACAAATTTTCCGTCGGAAAAAAAATTTTGAAGTTGAATTTTGAAGTTGAAAATTTTCAATTTTTAACAATGATATTTTCGGAAAAATTTTTGTCCTTGGAAATTTTTCTTGAGTGGAAATGTGGGTTGGCACCGAAGAGAAAAGGGTTGGGTGAACAAAATTTTGAGGGAGTAAAAGGTTGGGTAAATGAAAAATAAAACAACTCAAGGGTTGGGTAATAAAAATTTATTGTCATTTCCAAAGCATAACTCACTTACATATTGAAGACTAAAAAGCAATGTCAACAGTCATGTGTAAATGCAATATTTAAGTCAACTAGTCGCTATCTTGATTATTCTCTAATATTTGTCAGGAAAACACCCTGAACAGGGTGACCGATCAAAGTCCTTGTGTAGGAATAAATAGTGTTTTTTTTCCAACGTGTTTCTCCTTACATGCAAACAACGGTATAGCTTCGTTTTGTATATTTCATTTCCGGTGAATGAACACGGATGCACACCGATTACACTTTGTTTTGTACATTTCATTTCAGTGAATACACACCCAATATGAATGAAACGCGATACATTTTGAGAAAATAGTTAATGGGAAAAAGTAAATAAAACGTTCTTTGATATAATGATATAAAATCAAACGCAATGCACTTTCTCATCAGAAAAAATGAAAATCTTCCAGTAGACCCAGTTGGGAAAGCTCCTTAGCTACTTCAATTGGGAAGAGTCCATCAAACGGACAGTATATGGGCTAGCTAACGCCCTGCTGAAGAAGTAACGTGTGTAATTTTTTATCTTCGCTGTCTTCTAAAAGATAACTTTATTTGTGTAGAGCAATCATCGGGTATTTACAACTTGCGAGCTGTCCCGATTAAGAAAAGAACATTGAAACTGTCGTGGATTGATCCCACCATAAATCTACGACCTAATGTTGTCTACCATGTAAAGTTTGAAAAAGATGGTACCTGGCGGCAGTTCAATGTGACCAAAAGAACTTCATTGGTTGTGAAAAACCTTCGTCCTGGCATGACCTACACCTTCTATGCGAAGAAAAACGATGAATCAAAGTTCGTCACTGTTTCTAATAGTACAAGAGAGGAAGGTAGGGGTCCATGTTGTAGAGACCGCGGGGGGGGAGCTGGCTTCCCCAATAATTTTCATAATACTGAACGCATATGCTATTTTGTGCTTGGTTTGGGAAAATGGTACACAGGGTTGGTTGTGAAAGACCTTCGTCCTGACATGACCTACACCTTCTACGCGAAGAAAAACGATGAACCGAAGTTCGTCACTGTTTCTAATAGTACAAGAGAGGAAGGTAGGGGTCCATGTTGCAGAGACTGCAGGGGGGGGGGAGGGGAGCTGGCTTCCCCAATAATTTTCATGATACTGAACGCATATGCTATTTTGTGCTTGGTTTGGGAAAATGGTACACAGGGTTCGTACGCCCCCTGGAAATCCTGCAAAACCCTGGATTTTTATTTTAGTCTTGAAAAACCCTTTAACCCTGGAATTTCAAATTTATCCCTGGAAAACCGTGGAAAACTGAGAAACTGAGCTGGGTATATGATCATACCTAAACTATTTAACACTACATGTATCTTAAAAAGAAAGATTGAGACACATTGGAAAGTCATTAATTAAATGTCATTTACTATCAACATTAATTTAATGTCAACTACTCAACTTCTTAGGGAAATTTTTTGTATATTTGAAATGCCCCTGGAAAAAGCATGAAAAAAGTCCTGGAAAACTTGGATTTTTTAAATTATGAAAGTGTACTAAACCTGGGTACACCAACCATAATATAAACACTAGAATAAATAATGCTGAGCTGGCTATATTATATACCGTATCATTGAATGCAAGGTTGAAATACATTTTTCCCTTTTACTTGAGGCTGCCATTGGCTTGACCAAATTTATCAGTTTTGAAAGGTGAAACATATTAATTTTACGCAAATTTTTAGCATTCTCAAAAGTGCTTGTTGGACTCAAAGCTGCATGGAATAATTCGTGCAACAAAACTGCTGCAAATTGCAACAAATTAAAATCTGATTTCAACGCATGTTAAGTAGAAATGTTGACACATGTTACCTCGTGACTTGTAACTTATGTGTAAACGTTTTCAATTAACATGCGTTGAAATCAGATTTTGTTGCAAGTTCCGGCAATTTTGTTGCCGTATTACTCCACCTTCAAACATTGATATCTCGGTTAATATTGAAATGGAAATCTTATTGTAATATATATCAAAATTTAAGTAATTCGCCCTTTCTGGGTACCATAAACTTTATTTGATCGTGATAGCTGTTCTAGTTTTGTTGTTATTTTAAATCAAGCAGGGT